GTACCCTGAAGCCTGTAGGAAGGGAATAGGCACTTTTTGCCCTTCTTGGAGTAGCAGGAGCTAAGATCACCAGGGAGATAGGAGTGGTCCCCTCCCATCCCATGATGTAGCCACACCCCCTAGCTCCTGCTCATCTGGTTCCTGGACAAAAGCTTCCACAGGAGACTAGTCTGAAAGTCCCAGATCTGCACGGAACTCTGGTCCCCCTGTACCACTGAACTCAGCAGGGTCTGCTGACTGATTCAACAGGTGGGGGGAGGGGTGCTGGCTGTGTGCTCAAGGATGGGCAGATCAATCATCTTTCCAAGGGCACAGTTTAGTCACTGTCTCTGCCAAAAGCCTCCCTAGGAAAAGAGGTCCCCAAAAGTTGCTGCTGGGTGCAGCCAGCAGATGCCTCTGCAGGACCCAAGCATGGCACAGTTCCCTTGCCAGCAGTCAGAGACCTGGTGGTGCACTCCCCAGGGTGCTGCTGTAACAATAGGAGTGCTTGTCCCTGGGAAGGTGGCATCTGATCCCCACTGATCCCCACTAAATCCCCACTGATTTTCACCACCAGATGCTATGTAGGTTCCTCTTCTCATCTCTGCTGCTCTGGGTTGGAGATCCCTGCTTGGGGTTGAGACCCCATGTTCCTGGGGGGTAGTTTTGCAGCCACAATATTCCTCCAGCTTCTCAGCCGCCACAACATCTGGGTGCAGGAGCCAGCCCTTTCCATGTCTCTGCCCTTCTTACCAGACTCTCTATGGCTTCTTCTGTAAATCTGTGATTATAATATTTCAGTCCAGCTAGCCTTCAGTTGGTTATTCAGGTTAACTGCTCTATAATTTAGCTGTAAATCCAGTTTGGGGTGGGAGGCAGGTGACTGTAGCTTCCACCTGCTCTGCAGGCATCTTGGAATCTGTCCTGTAATGTCTTCCACTCCTATCTCAGCATGCCAAAACTTGACTTGCCCCAGCATGCACTAGGTCCATCTCACCCAGGACCTCTTCAATGGAACAGTGCCCAATCCTCATTTGCTGCTGCCTTTAACTCTCCAAGGACCTGGGTCATGCTTCCCCTGTGGCACCTGCCATGCTACCTGAGCATATGCCTTGTAGGCATACAGGTCTTCTAATATTCCTTGACCCTGATTGATATAGTTGAACTTTAAAAAACTCACATTTTGAAGGTCAAAAAATGCTGAAAATTGGAGATTTCATATGGTTCAACCAGCTGCTATTTCATGCAGCAGACAGGATATGTCAAATTAAATACAAAATGATATACATGCCCTGACTCTCCCCTGAGAACTCAGTCCATGTATCTAACAAACCATTTTGGATTTTTGCTCTTAGGCCACAATTAGTGGCCATCTTAAGTCAAGGAACAAACAACAGATAAGAGATTGCAACAGTGTTTACAGCATGCACTCCACCTGCTTACTGGGTGCTGGGAAGCCTGGGAAAGTAACCCTCATGCTAAGAAAGGAACCCAAGTCAGCTAGAAAATGGAACACAGATCAGGATATATCATCCAAATAGGAGGAAAAAACCCTAGAGCAAGGGTCAGAGCACACTAATGTGCTGTGTTTAAATGCTTCCAGAACCCACCAGGTTCCCATCATGCTGCTACCCACCCTGAGCGCATCCATCAGGTCAGGCTGCTCCAAGAGCTTAGGGAAGGTGGCCAGTACGGGATTACTGATTAAATCTGAAACACAAAGACCAAAAGGATCTTACATAAACTTTATCCAATATGTTTTACTGCAATAGACATAAAAGCATTCATTCAGATTAGAATCACTGTGTCACAAGATTTGTTGACAACATATTCTAACACTTTCACCTCTAGGAGCTCAAAACTGTCCCCTCAACCTCCACCCTCCCTACACTCATAGCCCAGAGGGTTCTGGAATGAGCCTTGTACCAAGGAGACAGAGCTTTTAGGGTGGGAGTATAGTTGCTCTTAACAGAATGAATAGAGAATTGTGTTCTTTTTTCTACGTTTTTTAACAGCCTCACTTTCCTCATGCCTATGGTGTGGTAAGAGGAGTCAGGAAGTGCCAGCGGAAAGGAGGCTGCCCGGGCCTGACTCCAGTCCACCAGTGCTTAGGGAAGAACCCCGGTGGCTGGGGTTGAGAGATGGTGAATGAAACTGGAAGGAATAGGGAGCCAGGGATTCTGGCCACGTGCCTAAAGACTATGTGGGAGAATACTGATATTCCACAGTAAGTAATGGCACCTGAAAGACCTGTGCGAGGAAGCCCACCAGGAAGAACGCTTTGGAAATGATCCTGTGTCCTTAGCAAAAAAGAAGTCCTTTCTCTAGATTTTTCTAGGTTTATTCTGGTCAGGTTCAAATGAAGTCAGTAATTCTGAGTAACCTTCTCCTCATCTACAGGACAACTAATACACTTAATCCTTTGTAAGAAGTCATGTCATTCATGAATTTTTTCTAGAGTCATTGAAATAAATTCAAAGGTCAGTGATGATTACAAGGCTTACCTGTCCTTCTCTTACTATAATTACTCCTTGAGAAATGTCTGTGCTTCTCTAACTCTGAGTTCCATCTCCACATTCCTGGCAGAGGATCCCTGTCTAACCATGAACTCTAGTCGTCCAGAGTGCTGAGGCACCACAGGGCTCTCCCTCTCCCTCCCTCTGCTCTAGCCACACTGGCCTGCTTTCAATGGCAATCCCTTCAGCATGCCGTCTTCTTGCTTTGGGTCTTCAGACATGCTGGTCTCTTATCCAGAAAGGATCATCTCCTTTGTACAGTAAACTCTAACTCCTCTCTCAGGTCTTATCTTAATATTACTTGCCTGGAGACTTCCCTCACCCTACACATTAATTCAGGTCTTCCTACTGCATGCTCCCATTGTGCATTTTCCTTCCAAGCCCTTATTTTAAAAGGTGAAAAGGATTGCTCATGTAACTTTGTGTTTAAGTTCTGCTGCTCCAGCAGGGTAGGGATGACTGAGCTGCCTCACGATGCCTGGCATACAACAGGCGCTCGATACACACCTGCTTTCTGATTTGCTGAATCACAGAACATCCAAAAAAGTTAAACTTCGCTTTAGAGACAAGTTCAATCATGTGTGATAACTCATTAATTTTTTTATATTATTTTTTAACATTTTACTTGGAAGAATTTCAAGCTTAAAAAAGTTGCAAGAATAAAAATAGTACACAGAACTCCTGAATACCTCTTACCTGAATTAACCAATTTTAACAAATCCATTTAAACTTTGTGCTTTAAGAACCTTTATTGTGGCTGATTTCAGTCTCTTCCCAAAAAGATGATATGAATACCAAATACATGAGAAAAACAGACTATTCAGGGACAGCAGGGAAAATATGATTATATCTGTTTTAGGATCTCAAATCACCAGAATTTGAAATGTGAAAGTACGTGTATTGTAAAGAATTAAATGTGTTCTGAGTTCACCCTGAGCACAATGCCTTGCATTTGCAATAATTTACTGACTTTGATGCTATTTTTAAATTTTTATTTCAAATGTCACCTTCGGAAGCAGAAGATCCAGGTTGACGTAGTTTACACTTACTCAAAGCACGATGCATTACTGTACAAAGGAAACTGCAGACCCCTTACCAGCACTTTGCATGCTCATCCGGTCTTTCAGGAGAACATCTCCAAGAATTTGGCGATAAAATACCAACAGATGAATGTAGCATGTGCTTCCAATTAATGTTTCTGGCAGGAGACTATTAAAAAAGGAAAAAAATGTATTCACTAAACAATCTCCTATACTCCAGCCTGCAATGTTTTTAAATGTGGCTTCTGTACGGAGCCAGCCTGCGCCTGGGCCAGCCACATCAGCAGGGTGCCCGACCCACACTCACACTATCAGGAATATGTTTCAAGGCAGCACTCAAGTTTCCCTGTGGATTCTAGGAGGAGAGGAGAGCACACACCCCAAGGCAGGCAGGTGGGAGTAGGGGTGGGAGAGGGGGCAGGGACAGCGGAAGCAGAGCTCAGCTCCTGAAATGGTGCTACACCAGCAGGAAAAGCTCTCCCTTAAAATTCTTTGGCAGAGATTTTCCGGTGCCGACTGTGTGCTGTAATCATACACGTGCTTCTTCCTGAGGTCTGGGGGCAAGGATTCGGGAGCCTTCTCTATAAGCCCAGAACTCAGAAAACGTCCCACGTCCCCAGCTTTGGAAGAAGGGGCTGCCTACCCAACCTCTGCACACCCAGTCAACTGGATCTCTGGATTGTAAGAAGTGTCTGCAGCCAGGACCGGGGCCAAAGAAACACTCCTGAGAGCTGTGCTAAAAGACACTCAGGAGAGCTCTGGGCTCTGGGAGGCTCATCAGAGAGGGGGCAGTGGGGGCAGGGGGGGGAAGGAAGCCAAACAGGACACCTTGGCTTTTCTGCTACAAAGATGGCTACTGTGCTTCTTTTTCTGATCTTGATAAATAACTTTCCAAGGAAAGATTGGCCAAAAAGGAATTTACAGGCTCTATAAACATCCAAGGGGAAAAGCCAAGAGAATGACTAATACCCATGAACACATTATTAAGGGTCGCTGGGAGATTTAACTGTTAATACTGTCATTATAAAACACATTTCAGTGTTGGAGATCAGAGCGAGGGAAGGTCAAACTCAGAGCGGATCCAGAATGAGAAAAGCAACCGCTCAGAGAGGTGGGACAAGTTCTCACTCATCACCTGGCTTCTTGGTGATCTGCAACAGGAACAGGTTCTGCTGGGACAGTCAGGGGTGCCCCACTCTTGTCCCGGTGCCCTGCTCCCCCTGCACCCCATCCACCATGCGCCTCTGTGGAAAGGGCCTCTCCTGTGCATCTTCACGGGGCACATCTCCAATCGTTCAAAGCCCACTTCAAATGACCCCTGGTCTTACCAGCTACATAGCACATCTTCACTGAGATGAATTTTGTGACGTACTGCACCAGCCATCTGGCATTATATTCACATTTATTTCTATACATATAATCACAAGAGTAGTCAATTATTAGAGCTCACACTGACTGTGCTCTACTGTGTGCCATGCACTATAAATACTAAGTGTTTCATATACTGTTGTTGTTTTTCATTAAACCTCATTACAACTTGTGGTGTTGATATTTCTACTGTGCCCATTTCAAAGATGTAGACAATGAGACCCTGAGAAGATGATTCTATGACTTGTCCAAGAGGTTCCTGATTTAGAAACTGATAAACCTGGATTCTGCTAATGTAAAAGCTCCCTGCAGAAAATGCAAATCAAAAACCCTAAGATACTACTACTCACTTATTAAAATGGCCAAAACAAACAAAACAAACTGAGAATAAAAAGTGTTGTCAAGAATATGAGGTAATTGGAACGCTCATACACTGCTGGTGAAAGTGTAAAATGGGGCAGTCATTTTGGAAAACAGTTTGGCAGTTCCTTATAAAACCCCACTCCCAGGTGTTTATACCCATGAGAAATACAAACATATGTCCACATACAAAAAGTTCACAGGCAAATATTTAGAGTGAGCTTTATATCCATAATTGCCCAAAATAAGAAAAAACCCAGATGTACATCAACTAGTTTATGGATAAACACACTATGATACACCCAGCCAGTGGTATACAGGCACACCTCTTTATTTCAAAATACTACGTTGTGGTGTGTGTGTTTTTTTAATTTTTCTTATTTTCTTTAGAGAGAGGAAGGGAATGAGAGAGAGAAACAGCAATGTGAGGGAGAAACATCGACTGGTTGCCTCTTGTACGCACCCTGACCAGGGATCAAATCCACAATCTCGGTATGTGCCCTGACCGGGAATCGAATGTGCCACCTACTGGCACACGGGATGATGCTCAAACAGAGTCACACTGGCCAGGGTGACACTGCATTTTTTTACAAATTGAAAATTTGGCCCTGGCTGGTGTGGCTCAGTTGGTTATCATCCTGTGCACTGAAGGGTTGCTGGTTCAATTCCCAGTCTGGGTACATGCCCAGGCTGCAGGCTCGATCCCTGGTAGCAGCCAATCGATGTCCTGTTCTCACATCAATGTTTCACTCTCTCTTCCTCTCTCTCTAAAACATCAATTAAAACAGAAAGAAAAAAAAATCGAAAATTTGTGGCAGCCCTGAGTTGAGCAAGTCTACTGGCCATTTTTCCAACAGGCTCAGATAATGGTTAACTTTTTGAAATTAAGGATATACATTGTTTTTTACACATAATGCTATTGAACACTTAATAGACTAAAGTATGGTGCAAACATAACTTTTATATGCACTGGGAAACCAAAAAAATCGTGTGAGTCACTTTATCACAACATGCGCTCTATTGCAGTGGTATGGAGCTGAGCCTGCAAATAACCCCTGTAAAGTTTAAAAGAAAAGAGAACAAACTGCCAATGTATGCATCAGCACTGCTGAATCTCAGAAGCATTAGGCTGAGTGAAAGCCTGACTCACAAGGCTACATACTGTGTCATCCTATGTGTAAGACATTCTGGAAAAGGCAAAACTGCTAGGAAAGAAAAGAGAGGAGTGATTACCTGGGGCTGGGGTGTTGAGGACAAAGACAAAGCAGGGAGGTAACTGTTTAGAGTGACAGACACATTCTCTATCTTTTTAAAAAAATATTCTTTAATTGATATTTAGAGAGAGAAGGGAGAGGGACAGAGAGATAGAAACACTGATGAGAGAAAAACATCATCTGTCAGCTGTGTCCCGCACAACCCCTACTGGAGATCAAGCCCGCAACCCGGGCATGTGCCCTAACCGGGAATCGAACCAGTGACCTCTTGGTGCATGGGTCAATGCTCAACTACAGAGCCACACTGGCCGGGAGACACATTCTCTATCTTGACTGTGCTGATAGTTACATGACTGTATACATTTCTCAAAACTCAAAGAACTGTAAACTAAAAGGAATAAACTAAATTATAACTCAACAAACTTAACATTAAAAAAAGTTCTCTGTCCTGGCCAGGCGTGGCTCAGCGTTTGAGCATTGACCTAGGATCCAGGAGATTGGGGTTCGATTCCCGGTCAGGGCACATGCCCAGGTTGTGGGCTCGATCCCCAGTCGAGGGCGTGCAGGAGGCAACCGATCAATGACTCTCTCATCATTGATGTTTCTCTCTCTCTCTCCCCCTCTCCTTTCCTCTCTCTGAAATCAATAAAGATATATTAAAAAAAAAAAAAGTTCTCTGAAGATAGGCTCACGGTGGATAAGCCACTATTTCTGACCAAATCTATCTTTGTGCTAACTAATAAGTAGAAGAGTAAGCTAATCTGAACTTACTTTTCCATTTCCCTACTGATCTTTGGCAGATGAGTTAATGAGGAAATAATAACCAACAAAAGATGACCAAGCAGGAGCAGCTGAGAGCAGAGATGATACACACATGCAGAGTAACCCGAGTCCCCCGACAGGCAGAAACTGCAGAAGCCATACTAACCTTAGTATGTCTCTTGATCTTCTGTTCAAAGACCTCAGTTTTACTAGAAGCTGTGGCTGCCTCCTCATTGTCATCATCTGATGAAAAACACTCCCATGAGCTTTAAAAAATTAATAAATTTCAAAACTTTAAGTGCTTGGGACAGTGAGTATAACACAACAAAGCATCTTCATTTTAATTAAAAAGCACAGTATTTTGCTATCATACAACAAAGTCTTTTTAGCACCAGTGCTAGCCCCTGACAGCTGCATTCTTGTTGCTGAATTACAAAAAAAGGGAGGGGAGTTTAAGAAGCATTTCTGGTTGGCATTGGTGGTATAGTGGTAAGGAGACCTGCCTTCCAAGAACCATGTCTGGGAGAGTGATGTCAGAGGAATGGAAGTGAGAGATCCTTATGGTCTCTCTCCCTGAAACTTTAACAAGGTTATCAACTATATAACTCAACAAGGATTCCCTGCTCAATATAAAGACATGCCTGAGACACCTGTGCATTGAAGTATCTAAAGGTGGGCAACCAGGAACAAACAGGGAGGTGCAAAGGAAAGAAGTAAAAGTGTCACTTTTTGCAGATTACATACCATATATAGAAAACCCTAAAGACTCTACCAAAAAACTATTAAACAATAAAAGCAGTAAAATTGCAGAGTACAAAATCAATGTACAAAAATCCACTGCCTTCCTATATTCTAACAACGAAACTTCATAAAAAGAAATGAAAAAAACAATTCCTTTAGCAACTGCAACCAAAAAAATAAAATACCTAAGAATAAACTTAACAAAGGATGTGAAAGACCTATATACTGAAAACTATAAAGCATTATTAAAAGAGATTGAAAAAGACACAACAAAATGGAAAAATATCCTGTGTTCATGGATTGGAAGAACATGGTTGAAATGGCCATATTACCCAAAGCAATGTACAGATTCCATGCATCCCCATCAAAATCCCAGTCATTTTTTTTTAAAGAAATAAAACAAAAAACCATCAGATTTGTATGGAACCACAAAAGACCCTGAAGAGTAAAAACAATCCGGAGGAAAAAAAACAAAGGCAGAGGAATCACACAACCTGACTTCAGATTATACTACAGAGCTACAATAATCAAAACAGCATGGTATTGGCAGAAAAACAGATACACAGATCAATGAAACATAACTGAGAGCCAGAGAGATATAAACCCACATGTATATGGGCAGAAATTTTTGACATAGGAGTCAGAAACACACAATGGAGTAAAGAAAGCCTCTTCAATAAACAATTCTGGGAAAACTGGAATGCTACATGCCAAAGAATGAAACTAGACTATAGTTTGTCTCCATGTACAAAAATTAATTCAAAATGGATCAGAGGCTTAAATATAAGATCTGAAACAATAAATTTACATAGAAGAAAACACAGGTACTAAACTCGTGAACCTTGGTCATAGAGAACATTTTATGAATTTGATGCCAAAGGCAAGGGAAGTAAAGGCAAACATAAATGAATGGGACTGTATCAAACTAAAAAGCTTCTGCACAGCAAAAGAAACCAACAGCAGAACAAAGAGGCAGCCAACCAAATGGAAGATGATATTTGCAAACGATAGCTCCAACCAAGGTTTAATAGCCAAAATATATAAAGAACTCATAAACCACCACAAAACAATCCAATTAAAAAATGGGCAGAGGACCCAGACAGACACCTCTTCCAAGAAGACATACAAATGGCCAACAGATATATGAGAAGATGCTCAACCTCACTAGCAATTAGGGAAATGAAAATAAAAACTACAATGAGATACCACTTCACACCTGTTAGTATGGCTATTATCAACAAGACAAGTAATAAGTGCTGGAGAGGTTGTGGAGAAAATGGAACCCTCATTCACTTCTAGTGGGAATGCAGACTGGTATGGCCACTACAGAACTCAGTCTGGTGATAGCTCAAAAAATTAAGAACACTTACCACATGCCCCAGCAATCCCTCTCCTGGATATATACCTGAAAAACTTGAAAGCATGTATTTGCAAAGACATATGCGCCCCTATGTTCGCTGCAGCATTATTCACAGTGGCCAAGACATGGAAACAACCAAAGTGTCCTGCAATACAGGACTGGATAAAGAAGATGTGGGACATGTACACAATGGAATACTACTAAGCCATAAGAAAAGACAAAATACTGCCGTTTTGACAACATGGATGGATCTTGAGAATATTATGCCAAGTGAAATAAGTCAGGAAGGAAAAGCTAAGAACCATATGATTTCACTCATACATGAGATATAAAACTGAAACTTGTGGACACAGCTGTGTGGAAGGGGGTGGGGGGTTAGGGGGTAAAGGGTCCCTAATATATGGTACAGAAAATTATTTAACTTGGGTGGTGGGCACACAGTGCAATACACAGATCTTGTAACATAGAAATCTACACTTGAAACCTATGTGAACCTATTAATTAATGTCACCCCAGTAAATTTAATTTTTAAAAAAAAGCACATCTGACTTTAGGTCAATCCACCTGCATCCCAGACCTCAAACTCCTTCCTGTCCCAAGAAGAGGGGGCTGGCACCCCCGGGGCAGCAGCAGTGGCCTGAGCTGTGAAACAGGGAGGGCAGGTCTAAGGAGCGGAGGGGGAGCTTCAATACTGTCAGGCTCTGAGCTGCACGGGGCGAGGCCCACTGCCTGCATTCCCACCGCCCAGCACAGCGCCTGGTCAGTGAATACAGCAGAAGGTGCTCGATATTTCTGGAGGGGAAGTGGCATATGCAACACAGCTGCTAAGGTCTGCGCCCTCTGACTAGCCATAGACCGTCTCTCAATTAGCCTGTTTATTAACTTAGCCGAGCATCCAATGACGAACAAATGTAGCTCCTCACACTTCCTCATTTTCCACAGTAGAGTCTCATGTGTGCTACCAAGAAAATAAGCACTCAGATAATATCAAGGTTTTAATATTGAAAGACATTTTAAAATATGAATTTACTATTTACGTATTAGAATATATATATCTTCTCTGATGCCTCCCGTTCGCTGATCTCTAAGGAAAGGAAGGGAGGTGATCCGTGAGAGCTGTACCTCTTCTGGACACTGAAGGGTCCACTTCCACACCTTTTTCATAGGGGGCGCCACCACTCAGTAAGAGCTCGTAAGTCCTACAAACGAAGAGTGCACTGTGACCGAGGCCTGCGATGGATGTTCTAAAGCACTGGACTCACAAGTCAATTACTTTTTAGCAGATACTTCTACAGACATTTATGTTTCATTGACAAGTGAGAATGAAAGCTGATCCTTCTATGGGGCATCATCTCAGTAAATAAGTCTTTTCCTTTCTTACCTATGACTCACAGAAATACATTTGCCATATTAACATGAGAAAGATTATTGATGTCATTAGTCTTTTGTCATTTAAATGTTTTGTACCATCATTTGAAGTAAAGCCAATATGAGTTTATATTACTTTTAAAATACAAAAGTAACATGCAGACTGCTGCAGAAAGTTTGAATGGCATAGAAATAATAAGGGAAAAATGACAGCTACCCCCACCCCCCAGTATGGCAGTCCCTTGCCCTATCTTGTTCTAGGCAAATGCAAACATACAGTCAACAGTCAATCTCAAACTGAGCATGCTTTCCTTTAAAGTTGCAAACTGCCAAGGTGTGGAAAGCAGAAGGTAAAAGGCCTCTCTCATTCCACTGCGCCAGCTCCCACTCCTGCTCCTCAGGGCAGCCTCCAGGAACAGTTCACATAAACCCACCCACGTATGCGCACAAACGCGGTCCCCATGAACCAAAGTGGAGTCACAGTATACATACCACCCTGCTACCTGCCTTTCTCATGTAAAAATATACACACTGGAAATGTTTCTCTATCAATACACAGGCCTCCACTTCATTTGAAAAACATAGCTGTGACTTTAGGACAGATTGAGAAGAAACACCTTTCCCTTCTACTAAGTACAACTAAAACCCTGAACATTATTAAAAACAAAACCCCCAAATCATAAAACCCTGGGCTTCTACATCTACTGGGGGAAGGTAAGGGGGGTGGGGTAATAAAGTGCCTTGCCCCCTTTTGCCCAGCGAGGTCAGAGGAAGAGTGCAGCCAGGAATTTCACCTCCGTCCTGCAGTGTCAGCAGAGGTGGAGGGGGGAGCATGACCTGAATTAAAACTCTGGGGTTAGAAACTATGATAATACTCCATTCTAAAATTGGAGAAACTGTGGCTGGGAGACTTACAGTTAAGCAGACTCAGTGGGACAAGAGCCCTGAACCTGATGCAAATCTGGAGTCTCCACCCTCTTCCTCCTGACTGCGCACCTGTCTCTCTGTGAATTTCTTGTTTATGTGCTAGACTTAGATTTCTGGGTGCACCCACTTTAAAACGTAATTGTCTTCACCCTGGCTGGTATGGCACAATGGTTAGAGCATTGGCCCGCACACAGAAGTGTTGAGGGTTCGATTCCCAGTCAAGGGCAGGGACCTGGGCTGCAGGTTCAATCTCCAGCCCTGGTCAGGGCACCTGCAGAAGGCAGCCAATCCATGTTTCTCTCTCTCTCTCTCCTTCTTCCTTCTACTCTCTCTTTAAAAATAAAAAATATTGAGTAAGGATTAACAAAATAAAAAAGAAATTGTCTTCTCAATTTTTGAGAGCTCGTTTTATATTAGAGATGGTAATCTTCTGTTATGTATATAAGGGTGCGGCAAAACTAGGTTTACAGTTGTTCATATAGAAAAAATAATAAGTAATACAGGAATGAACTGTTTCGCATACTCAACACTGTAAACCTTCTTTTGCCCCCATCCTGTATTGTAAATATTTGCTACCAGTTTGCCTTTTGGTCCTCTTTTTTTTTTTTGCCATTAATTCACTTTTATTATTCAATTACAGTTGACATATTATATTAGTTTCAGGTGCACACCCGTGATTAGACATTATATAACATACTAAGTGATCATTCTGATATATCTCGTACCCATCTGACACCATACATAATTATTAGACTATTACTGACTGTATTCCCTATGCTGTACTTTACATCCCCATGACCAATTTGTATTTCTTAATCCCTTCACCTTTTTCATTCATCCCTCCAACTCCACTCCCATCTGGCAACTGTCAAAGTGTTCCCTGTATCTATGAGTCTGTTTCTATTCTTGTTCATTTATTTTGTGTTTAGGTTCAATTGTTGATAGATATGTATTTATTGCCATTTTATTATTCATATTTTTTAATCTTTTTTTCTTCTTCTTAAAGAAGACTTTAATATTTCATATAATACTGGTGTGGTGGTGATGAACTCCTTTAGCTTTTTCTTGTCTGGGAAGCTTGTCCTCTGATTCTAAACAATAGCTTTGCTGGGTAATCTTGGTTGTAAGTCATTGGTGTTCATCACGTTGAATATTTCTTGCCATTCCCTTTTGGCCTGCAAAGTTTCTGTTGAGAAATCAGCGGACTGCTATTCTCTTGCTACTTTTAAGATTCTCTGTCTTTAACCTTTGGCATTTTAATTATGATGTGTCTTGGTGTGGGCCTTTTTGGGTTCCTCTTGCTTGGGGCTCTCTGCACTTCCTGTACTTGTATTTCTATTTCCTTCACCAGATTAGGGAAGTTTTGTGTCATCATTTTTTCAAATAGATTTTTCAATGTCTTGCTTTCTTCTCCTTCCAGCATCCCTATGATGCAAATGTTGGTATGCCTGAAGTTGTTCCAGAGGCTCTTTATACTACCTTCATTTTTTTGGATTCCTTTTTCTTCTTTGCTGTTATGATTGGGTGGTTTTGCTTCCTTATGCTATTTCAAATCACTGATTTGATTCTCAGCTTCATTTACTCTAGTGTTGATTCCCTGTAAATTTTTCTTCATTTCAGTTAGTGTAGCCTTCATTTCTGACTGGTTCTACTTTATGGCTTATATGTACTTTGTCATGCTGTTGAAGTTCTCACTACATTTCTTGAGCATCCTTATAACCATTGTTTTGAACTCTGTCTGTTTGCCTCCATTTCATTTCATTCATTTTCTGGATATTTCTCCTACTCTTTCATATGGGACCTGTTTCTTTGTCTCCACATTTTGACTGCTTCCCTGTTTTTGTTTCTATATATTACCTAGAGCTGCTGTGCCTCCTGGACTTGGTAGAGTGGCCTTGTGTAATAGGTGTCTTGTAGGGCCCAGTGGTTCAGCCTTTCCAATCACCCGAGCTGGGTGCTCCAGGTGAGCTCCTGTGTGGATTGTATGTACTGTCCTGCTGCAGTTGAGCCTTCATTGCTGTTGGCGTCACTGGGAGAGAATGATCCTCAGGCCAACTGACCACAAAGATTGGCTGCAACTACAGCAGAGGATCTGTAGTGCAGGAGCAGACCCCATGGAGCAGGACTTGCTTCAGTGGGGCTTTGGTGCTCAATGAGTCCACCCCTTGAGTGTGTCACTCGTGGAGGTGGTAGGGTTGTAATCAGCATGGTCTGAAGATGCCCACCAGTGCACTGGCTCTGGGGCCTCCTGGGAGGTGCAAGGTCAGCTGCCTGTGTCCTGCCTAGGGCCACCTGGCATGAGCTACAGAGTGATCTACAAATGGCTGCTACTTGTGCTGGGCTTGGAAGTGCCCAGGAGAGGCCAAGCTGCAAACCAAGGCCAGATGCCACAAGTGCCAGGCCTGGGGCCACTTATTGAGAGGTACGGGGAATACCAAGGCAGATGCTGCTTATCTGCAATTTGTGAACCTTTGAGAGATTTTAGGAAAGTCCACAGCAGGAACCAAGACAGGCAGTTTGTATGGAAAAACCACTGGAAATGGCTTTGGTGGGCACACAAGTTGGGTGGGGGAGGGTCTCAGGGAATAACTAGGGTGGGGTGAACAGTGTTAGGTTGATGGAGACTCAGATATGGCACCTGCCTGACGGCTCTGTGGGGGTCTCAGAAAAGGAACAATGGCCTCTGCCAGCACTTCTATCTGGCAGAATGCTGCCCCTCCAGTTCTTGCCCCGATGCTAGATAATTCAATTCCTCCCCATATGTCCCTGGTGCCTCTCCAGCTGCTGCCCCAGTGCTGGAGCTTAGAGGGAGTAAGTCTGAGTAAGTCTGTGCACAGACTCTTTAAGAGGAACCTCCTGGGACTCCAGCAGCCTCTGTCTCACTCAGCCACACTCGGTTAGTTCTGACACACAGAAGTTATGGGGACTTCTCTTCCTGGCACTGGAACCCTGGGCTTGGGGGCCTGGTGTGGGGCTGGGACACCTCGCTCCTCAGGGGTGACCTTGGCAGCCAAGAAATCCCTAGTTGTAGGACTTCCATTCAGCCAGATTTCAGGTGGTTCTGAATGATGGTTAATCTGTAATTTTATTTGTAAGTTTAGTTGTCATTTTCATGTGGTTGTGGGAGGAAGTGAATACCACATTTGCCGACACCACCATCTTGACTGGAAACCTGCCTTTTGGTCTTAAGTTTTAAATTTGCCTACTGTGCCCAGCTGGGGTCGCTCAGTTGGTCGAGTGTCATCCTATGGACCAAAAGGTCACCAGTATGATTCCTTGTTAGGGCACATGCCCGGATTTCAGGCTTGATCCCCAGTAGGGGGCATGCAGGAGGCAGTCAACCAATGTTTTTCTCTCACATCGATGTTACTCTCTATCTCTCCCTCACTTCCCCTCTCTCTCTAAAACCATAAAAACATATTTTAAAACAATAAAATAAATTTGCGTACTGTGGCTGCCACAACAATGTCAATGTACCACCTATAGTGGAAAGGCAGAGTCAGAGAGGACCTGAGGACCCCAGAATTACTTTTCCCTCTCTTTGGAAGGAACTTGGCTGTTTCAGCACTGTGAAAACTGCTAATCCCAGAGGAAATCACTGAAGAACATTCTCAGCAGACAGTGGTGCAAACATCTCTTAAGTTCCCTTTTCTATGTGTCACTTCCCCTCCCTAGCACAAGACTGTACATGCTGTTTTCACATACTACCTAAAGGAAAACATAAAATCAACATTCAAAGCCCTCTCCCCACAAGTTACTGATATGCTTACAGAACATACATTCTGAAAACCTGAGGTATCTAGATTCTAATGTATGAATTTCTACAAAATTACCCATGTGGAAGGAATATATAGCCAACTTACTTTGCTGCAATAGGAATTCCACTGTCATCAAAAAGTTTAAGAAACACCCAGCCACAGCTTAATTCTCCTCTTTCACCAGTTGACTAGGAAATAAAAATGAAGATGAAACAATGTCTGAAGCAGTCAAATTTATAAGCACATAAAAGGTACTTTTACAGAAACTAAGTTAGTATTCACTTTAGACTGAACACTCTTCACAGGAAAATAAAGTGAAGCACAGGGGGTCCCTTTGTACTCACAGAGCTCCTGGTGATGTGCAAACCCCATCCAGTTAAATTGCTCTTGAAAATCCCTAGACCTGAAAGGCCCTGGTCAAGTAGCTCCATTGTTTAGAGCATCAACCCAATAAACCAAGGTTTCAGGTTTGATCCCCAGTCAGGGCACATACAAGAATCAACCAATGAGTGCATAAATAAGTGGAACAACAAATCAATGTATCTCTGGCTCTTTTTCTCCCCCCCTCTTCCTTCCTCTTTAACTCCAAGAAAAAAAGAAAATCCCTAGAACTAACTGATGATGTGCTCAAGTCTCCTGAGTGATACATGTGATGGACTAGAACAAGCTCAAACACATTGACAGCACATGAGCTCAGGAAGCCTTGTCTCCCTGACAGATAAACGAGCAAGTTAAAGCATTCAAGGGTCTTTCCTGCTCAGAACTTTGTCCAACTGTCAATTGTCAGAGGCCAGTGGGGCCCAACTGGGGGCTCTGCTCCTCTCCTGTCCTACCCACACTACACAGATGATTGAATTTGCCTTAGAGAAATGAAAGGATGGAGCAATACCATCAATGTGGGAACAGTGGGCTCTCTGGGTTATCATGAGGCCCAGTATATATACTACATCTTTCAAGCTATTGGAATATGGAGACAATTACTATCACAGAACCACACCCACTGGTTCAATAGTTTATATGATGTGAAGTTAATCCAAGTTTTCTGTGTTCCATTTAAAATAATCACCATTGTGCCAGGTCCCTTCATTAGAACCTTCATTCACGAGGTTAAGTGCCCTCTTACTCTAGGATGGAAGGGAAACGCTGTGCTGGAATCCACCAAACATCTTCTACCACTTTCTGCAGAGTCCCATCCTTTCCACAGCTTCATTTTTTAAAAGCACTGGAGTTCACTAAAGCTATAACTGTTAAACAAATATACTCTTATCTATTTATTTATTTATTCATAAGGTTTTTTCCCTGCCAAATATTCTTTCCCCTTTCTTTCACTACAACAACCTTTTTTTTTTTTTTTTCAAGCAGGAAAGGCAATATGCCCAGCTAAAAAATACTTCCTCTACAGATTCCTTTTCAGCTAGGGTGACCATATGTCCCATCTAGCTATTGAGATACAGATGAACATTTTGAGTGGGGCCTCAGGAAACATTTTTTATGGGAATAGATTGCTTTATTTTTTTCACCTTCTAACCTCTTAGTTATATTTAGGATTACAGGAAATAGCTGTTGAATTGTGGCACATTTCATCTAGGTATAAATTTTATATTATTGCCAGATAACCTTGAGACCTTGAGATATGGCTTTGTTGCCACTATTTAGTTTCTATATATATGCAGCTTACACCCAACATGAGGTTGTTTTGCTTCTTTCAAAAGGGGATTGTTTTTTTTCCCTTTAGTCACAAATCATGACACAATAGTAAGCTTTCCTGCTGTTGCCTAGTAATTATCGATTTTTTTTTCTTTTCACCTTAACACCTGCCGCCCCTGGCAACCACCAATCTGTTCACTGTATCTATGAGTGTGTTTGTGTTTTTTTAATTCCATATATAAGTGCAGTGATATGGTATCTGCCTTTCTCTGTCTTATCTCACTTAGCATCATGACCTTGAGGAGCATCTATGTTGTTGCAAATGTCAAGATTTCATTCTTTTTTATGGCTGAGTAATACTCTGTTGTATGTATGTACCACACTTTCTTTATACAATTGTCTATTCATGAACACTAAGGTTGCTTCCATGTCTTGGCTATTGTAAATAATGCTGCAATAAACATAGAGATACATACATCTTTTTAGAATTAGTGTCTTGGATTTCTTCAGATTAAATACCCAGAAGTGAAACTGCTGGGTTATATGGTAGCTATACTTTTGATTTTTTTTGAGGACCCTCCATACTGTTTTCCATTGTGGCTGCACTAATTTAAAATTCCCACCAATAGGGCACCAGGGTTCCCTTTTCTCCACTTCCTCACCAACACTTGTTACTTCTTGTCTTTTTGATGACAACCATTCTGATAGTGGGAGGTGATATTTTGTGGTTCTGATTTGCATTTCCCTGGTGATTAGTAATGTTGAGCATCTACACTTTAATTTTAAATGCTACTGAATAAGTGGCAGTACATATAATACTAAAACCACTAATTCCCATTCCTCAAGGGTTAAAATTCTATTACATACAAAAATCTCAATTCTTTTACTTGTGAATACAAGCTTTTTTTAAAAAAACAAAACTTCCTTTTTAACTGATTCATTAGAAAGCCTTATTTGTTAACTGACATACATTGCGAATGTAAGAAATTCCAAGTTCAAATAATATTCCAAGATCTGGAGATGAAGAATTGGACCTGATGAAACAATCACCATCAAGCAAGCACGGCAACGTGCCAGTAACCTGAAACAATAAGAAAACTAACGTTACCAATAAAAATTAAAACTGGGGGTAGGTTTCAGCTCCATTCACCTTTGATGGTTTATGCCTTTGCCTCATAGTAAAGGGTACTGTAAGGATTACAGAAGATAATACACTGGATTAGAGCTGCATAAACGCAGGTATTGTTATATGTGCATAGGTTTCTTCTCTAGTACCATTCAGTTCCCACAATACCTAAGAAGAATGCCTTGCACTTAACTGATGCTTAACTTCAAACAAAGTAACAAATACCTATTATTTATCCTTCCAAACAGTTCATCTTTATATCTGAGAAGACATTAGAAAGCTCCACTCTAAACACTTCATATACACAGATAGGCCACGTCAGAACTAGAAAGCGTTGTGCCAAATACAAGCAGCAGGTGCTTAGAGGAACACAGGGACTTCCAGGAGCTGTATTCAAGACAGGTGTGGACACACACAGCACACAAGCGTGGGGGCCATGCCTCTGCCACTGAATCTGTCTTGCTTTCAGATCTTCTGATGCCATAGAAGGGGTTAATGCAGGTTCTTAGAGGGCAGTGACACTGGAATTCATATGGCAGGGAAGTAAATACTAAAGCAATGAACAGTTAGAGGAAGAAAAAGTGAAATGAACTACAGACAACTAATCTTATCAAAAGCACACAGAAATCATAAAAATAAAATATAATTATAATGCACGAGATGATCCTAAATACGGCTGCATATGTATGTACTTATATTTAGAGAGAGAGAAAGGAAAAAGGGCCGTGGCAGCTGTCAGTGGGAGCTGGGGTGGTCGCACAGCTAGGCCACGGCTTCTCCTACTGACTGTAAACATTTCACGGAACACCAGCATTAGAACAGACTTCTCTGTGACTAGGATGGAACAGGATAGAGACAGGACCACTTTATAACCATGTCTGAACACAGACAGAAACAAACAGAAAAAAACAACAACAAAAATGATCAAGCATGGCCCTCTCCCAGCTAACATCAGTGACTGCTGTTCCCTTTCAAGCAGAGTTTTAAGCTCATTTGTTCCTCCTGCATCTCAGATAAAACGTGTTAAGACAGATTCCAAGATGGCAGTAGATTGAGTGGAAGCTAAACTGACACTCTCTCAGGACAAAACTGAAATTGCAACTAAAATTTGGAAAAACCATCCTGAATAATCAACTGAAGACCAGCTGGAGAGCACCCTCATAACCAAGGACGTAAAGCAGAGACCACATAGAGACCGGTAGGAAGTGCAGAGGCATGAGAGGGCTGGTGGGGCTCCCACAGGCGGCGGCTGCATGCCTGGAGGGTTATATCAGCTGTGGGGGGGTTCCCACTGAGAACTCTGGGGTCTAAATCCTAAGCCCAGAGCACCAGAACTGAGAAAGGTCCCCACATAACATCTGGCAGTGAAAAGAAGTGGGGTTTCCTTCTGCCAGGGAGAGATGGCTGGTTATGCAGGCACCCTCTTAAACGGCCAACACACAAAGTTTCACTTGCAGCCACTCACCTTGGGAAACGGCAGTGGGAGGGCAGAGTAGACTAGAGCTGTGTGACGAGAATTCAGGATTGCTGGCTTTGGGGATAGAGCTCAGACAACAGCCATCTAGATTCCTGTGCAGAGTCATTCCCCATATGGCAGAGGATGTGTTTCTCAGGGAGACATTTACCATCCAAGCAGCTTCAGCCTGGGGAGGGGAGCAATTGCCTCACCCTGTTGAAAAACCTCTCACCCCACCCTGTGGAGTTTCTACAGCTTGAGGCTCATTAAGAAACTGAGTAACAATCAGCCTCTAGGCATTCTGAGTCTTTGCCTGATTTGCTTCTGGACCAAGAGCTTGGGAAAGCAGGCCTTGGTGTACATCTTGGTCCTGTCCAAACACACCCAGCCCCAGCAAAGGGAACCACGAGCTGTGGAGTGCAGAAAGCTTAAAACAGGATACTCAAGGCCAGTCACAAACAGTGTCTGACACTGCCCTGCACCAGAGACCATCCAAAAGACTGGGAGTCCTACCAGATCTACCTAATACATAGAAACAAATTCAAACAGGAAGCCAAAATGGGAAGACAAAAAATAAGCCCCAAATGACAGAACAAAAGAATTCTCCAGAAGAAGAGCTAAATGAAATGGAGATAAGCAATCTATCATATATATAGTTTAGAATACTGATCATAAGGATGCTCAACACCATGAGAAAAGATATGGAAACTATGAAGGAAATTAAGAATGACATTGTAGGAAAAAATCAACAATATTGGAAGGAATAAACAACAGATTAGGGGAAGCCAAGGATAGGATCACTGAATGAGAAGACAAGGTAAGGAAAAATCACTCAATCAGAGAACCAAAAAGGAAAACAATTCAAAAACAGGTCCTAGCCAGTTTGGCTCAGTGGTTAGAGAGTTGGCCTGTAAACTGAAGGGTCCCGGGTTCAATTATGGCCAAGCGTACTTACGTCGGTTGCAGGCTCAATACCTGGCCAGGTCAGGACAGGTGCAGAAAGCAACCAATTGATGTCTCTCTCTCACATATATGTTTATCTGTCTCTCTCTCTCCCCTCCACTCTCTCTGAAAAGTAATAGAAAAAATATCCTCAGGTAAGGATTAAAAAAAAACACACCAAAAAACCTACCAGGAGGACAGTTTAAAGGAGCTGTGGGACAACATGAAGTGTAACAATATTCACATCATAGTATCAGAAGACGTGGAAACTAAGCAAGGGTTAGAGAACCTGTTTGAAGAGAAATAGGCAGAAAACTTCCCTAACCTGGTCAAGGAAAAAATCACACATGTTCAGGAGGCACAGAGAGTCCCAAGCAAAAAGAACCCAAAGAGGTCCACACCCAGACACATCATAATTAAAATGCCAAAAATTCAAGACAAAGAGAGAATCTTAAAGGCAGTAAGAATAAAGCAATCTGATACCTACAAAGGAGCTTCCATAAGGCTGTCAGCTGCTTTCTCATCAGAAACTCTATAGGCCAGAAGAGAATGGCATGAAGTATTCAAGGTAATGAAAAGCAAGGATCTGAAACCAAGACTACTCTATCCAGCAAGGCTATCATTCAAAAGAGATGGTGAAATAAAGAGCTTCCCAGGCAAAAAAAGGCTAAAGGAGTTTATCACCACCAAACCAAAATTGCAAGAAATGTTAAGGGGACTGCTGCAGTAAGAAGTACAAATAGAAAGAAAGAGAAACATAGGCATAAAGAAATAAAATGGCAATAGATAAGTACCTATCAATAATAACCTTAAATATAAATGGATTAAATGTTCAATCAAAGGACATAGGGTAGCTGAATGGATATGAAAACAAGATCCAAATACATGTTGCCTACAAGAGACCCACCTCAGAACAAAAGACTCACACAGGCTGGAGAAAGAAGAAAAAAAAAACTTCTGGAGGGCTTTAAAGGAGAGATCCACAGCAGTACAGTCATAGTAGGGGATTTTAACACCCCACTAACTTTACTGGATAGATAGATCTTCCAGACAAAAAAATCAACAAGGAAATAGTGATTCTAAATGAGACACAAGATTAGATGGATTTAATTGACATTTACAGAACATTTCACCCTAAAGCTGCAGAATATACATTCTCCTCAAGGGCACATGGCACCTTCTCAAAGACAGACCACATGTTAGAATACAAAACAAGACTCTACAAGTTCAAGAAGATTGAAATCATATCAAGTATCTTCTTAGACATTTATACCATGGAACACTATGCAGCAGTAAAATAGAAGGACCCCTTACCCTTCGAGACAGCATGGTGGGACCTGGAGAGTATTACGCTAAGCAAAGTAAGCCCGTCAGAGAAAGACAAGTATCATATGATCTTACTCATATGTGGAATCTAATGAACAAAATAAACTGATGAAAAAATAGATCCAGAGACATAGAAGCATGGAACAGAGCGACGAATCTCAGAGGGAAGGCAGGGATGGGTGAGTGGGTGGGTGGGGAGAGATTAACCTAANCAGAAGTATGGAACAGAGCGACGAATCTCAGAGGGAAGGCAGGGATGGGTGAGTGGGTGGGTGGGGAGAGATTAACCTAAAAACTTATATGCATATATGCTGGACACAGAAAATAGTGTGGTGAAGGCCTGGAGCGCAGCCGGTGCAGGGTGGAGGGGATCAATGTGGGGAAAAGGGGATATCTGTGATACTTTCAACAGTAAAGATAAATTAAAACAAAAACAAAGCAAACAAAACATGTATTAAGATAGCAAATTATAGAATTGCTCCAGTTTCTGAGAGTGCCCAATTCAAAGCTTCACTAGATTCTCAAAATCCTAACACAAGGTCTAATCCCATAACAAGCTCTTCCTAACATCCCTTTCCTGGTTTGCCATGTTGGATGTTTTCTCTTCTTGCAGAAAGCACCAATAAATACACTTTAACTACAAAATAACATAGACATCTTCATCTTCACTGCCCTCTATGTTGTACTGATTCAGTTGTTTGAAACCTCCTGGCTGCACTCCAGGCCTTTTTGTTCCAGTCCTAACAGTCCCTGAATGCAATGGACCAGTACCCGAGGCATCACCCTTGATTTTTATCTGAAGAAAGTACAGCTTGCATTTACACAGATTTCATTGTTGAAAAACACTTCCTAAATGTCATCTTTATGTTTTCATTTTTCATCAGAGGGCATTTCTTTTACTGTTGAGAGTATTACAGATGTCCCCATTTCCACCCCCTTTGTCCTCCTCCACCTAGCTCCCCCTCTACCCAAGGCCTTCACCACACCATTGTCTGTGTCCAGGGCCTATGCATAAAAGATCTTTAGTTAATCTCTTCCCACCACCCACCACCCCCTCCCAGCTGTCAGTCTGTTCCATGTATCCATGCCTCTGGACGCATTTTGTTTACCAGTTTATTTTGTTCACTAGATAATACATATTAGTGAGATCATGTGACATTTTTCTTTCTCTTTCTGGTTGAATTTGATTAGCATAGTAATCTCCAGGACCATCTATACTGTCGCACGGGGTAAGATCTTCTTTTTTACAGCTGAGTAGCACTCCATGGTGTAAATGTCCCACAGCTTTTTATCCACTCATCTGCTGATGGGCACTTGGGCTGTTTCTAGATCTTAGCTATTGTAAATAGCTCTGATATGAACATGGGGGTGCAAATATTTTTTCTGATTAGTGTTTCAGGATTCTTAGGATATATTCCTAGAAGTGAGATCACGGGTTCAAACTGCAGTTCAATTTTTAATTTTTTGAGGAAACTCCATTGCAAAACACTTAACAAATAAAAGAAATTCATGTTTCATTCCATTCACTGAACAGATGACTCACCTGGGGAGAAAAGGTCCATGTTTTGGGCTTTTTCGGTTGCCATGTGGCTCTGACTGTATGAATGTTGCTCAGAACCTGAAATGAGATTTTCCCATTTGAAATCATGTAGAAAGCTCTCTGAAACATCACCACTCCCACACCCCAAACGGTTTAGAGTGACTATGTTGTGTGGAGCAGAGGGAGCACGGATCTTTCACTTCTTACTCTGAGCAATTCTGGCATTTCTGTTCTTTTAACATCAAGTACATATACAACTTTTAAAATGATTAACAAAAAACAAGTGTTAAAACACTTATTTATAAACCATTGAAAGAACTAATGAAATGAATTCAGACTCAGATCTTTGCATTAGTAATAAATGATATTAAGTGAAATAGTTAATATCTGAGATAGAAAAGTAAGTTTCACGTACAAACGATCTTCTAAGAAACATGACCCAGAAGAGCATTTCATGTGTAGTCCATCATCCTGCCCCTGAGACAGACAAGACTAACAGCTCAAATACACAGTTCCATCTTCTTCAAAATCTCAAGGCCCATAAATTATATTCTTCCTGCAATTTATCTCTTATAAAATGCTACTGCAGAAGTTAGTCCCACAATATACATAAAACAATGAAACACAAGAGGAGCCAAAACTGTAAAAATGAGTTCAAATTCTGTAAAGTTAACGCCAAAATTTACATCTTCCAAAGGAACAGGTGACAATTTTTATTTTCAATAAAAATATTTTATAGCACCTCTAAAACTAAGCTTTAAAAGTAGCTAGAAATTACCCCAAACATGTCATTTTAGGTCAAATTCAATTCACTTCCATCTAAGTCCCTACTGGTAGGCAGTTAGCAGTATCTTATGGACAGCCAAGTGATTTTCAAAAAAATCCAAGAAGGAACACTTTCAAGATCTTTTTATGAGGCCAGCATTATCCTAATTCATAAACCAAATAAAGACACTACATAGAAAGAGAATTACCAGCCAATGTCCCTGATAAGCATAGGTGCTATAATCCTCAACAAAATATTAACAAATCAGATTAAGCAATATATTAAAAAGATCATACACCATGACCAAGTGGGATTTATTCCAGCGGTGCAAGGCTGGTACAATATTTGCAAATCAATAAACATGATGTATCACATAAACAAATTGAAAGACAAAAATCACATGATCATATAAATAGTCACAGAAAAAGCATTTGACAAAATACAACACCCATTTTTGATAAAAATTCTCAGCAAACTGGGAATAGAGGGATCATACCTCAACATAATAAAGGCCATATATGAAAAACCTACAGCTAACATCATACTTGATGGGCAAAAACTAAAAGGATTTCCCTTAAGATCAGGAATAAGAGAGGGCTGCCCACTTTCACCACTCTTATTCAACATAGTACTGGAAGTCCTAGACACAGTGATCAGACATGAAGAAAAAACAAAAGGCATCCAAATTGGAAAGGAGGAAGTGAAACTGTCATTATTCACAGATGACATGACATTGTAAATAGAAAACCCTAAAGACTCCACTAAAAAACTAAGAGATTTAATAAATGAATTTGGCAATGTAGCAGGATACAAAATTAACATCCACAAATTGATGGCATTTTCTTTTTTATTAAATATATCTTTTACTGATTTCAGAGAGAGGGATGAAGAGAGATAGATAGAAACATCAATGAGACAGTCATTGATCGGCCGCCTCCTGAATGCCCCTGAATGGGGATCGAGCCTGCAACCTGGGCATGTGCCCTGACCAGGAATCGAACCTTTATCTCCTGGATCCTAGGTCGATGCTCAACTGCTGAGCCACGCCCAGCCGGGCTCTCTCTCTCTCTCTCTCTCTTTAAATTTACTTCTTCAGTCTTACTAATTAGGCATCTCAAGTTTATTAAGCTTCTCAGAGAAAAAACTTTTGCCTTTTCTGATTCTCTCTCCATTTGTTTCCTATTTCATTAGTTCCTACTCCCACCTTTACTACTCCCTCTGCTCTGTTTCCTTCTGGTCTAACTCACTCTCCCTTTCCATTACTGAACTCATAGGCTGGATCACTGATTTTAAACCTTCCTCCCTGTTTGGCAGTATATGAAATTAAAGCTCTAAATTTCCATCTAAGCACCGCTTAAGATGTTGTCTCACAAACAAATCATTTTAATCTCACCAAGGATGTTTTTATTAATTTTAGAGAGAGAAAGGGAAAGAGAAAGAAAGAGAAACATTGATGTGAGAGAGAAACATCAATCGGCTGCCTCCCCTATGCACCTCAACCAGGAATGGACCCCACAACCTAGGTATGTGCCCTGACCAGGAATCAAACCCGCAGCCTTTTGGTGCATGGGATGATGCTCCAACCAACTGAGCCACCCAGCCAGGGCCAAATCAATTGATTTTTTTAGGAGTCATTTATATTCTTTGTTTGGTACTGAGTAAAATATATTCTCCAAGGTTCAGGGAGGAGTCAAGTGGGAAAGGACACAAGGAAGCTCTGTAAGGGAGAGGAATGCTCCACATCCTGACTGGGGTGCGGGCTATACAGGGATGTGCGTTTGTCAGGAATGCAACTCTGTGCACATAAGTCCTGACCTATACAACTCTAGAGGGAGGCAGGCCTAGTGCCTTTTGTAGGTGAAAACTCTAAGGCTCAAAAGAGCTAACTGTGATATGTGAGCCAACGTAACACACGTGACTACTGAAAGAGCCAGAGTGAAGCCCATGTCATCAGAGCCCATGGGTTTGCACTCTACCACGTATTACCTTATAAGTATGTACACATGCATATACATACACAAATACACATACACATACGAAGAAAGAGGGACTGAGAGAAAGACACAGAATCAGACAGGCCCCTCCAAGGACGTGTTTAACATGTGATGCTAAAAAACTTTTCCATCCTGATGTGAGCCGTCGTGCTCCTCAGCAAGCTCACCTTACTGCCATCAAACAGACAGAGGCGCACGTGTCTGCTGAGAACCTGGATGCTCACTCCCGGAACTGGAATCATCTTACAGCTCCAGAGCGTGAGAATCAATGAGACACGACTTGCCCTTGACCGAATCTGAGAGAAAAATTATAGAAAAGGTTTACTTTTGTGACTAAGACAACAAATTCATTTTCAAAGAAATTTTCATAAATACATAAGAAAATGTACATTAAGATAATGTACAAATAATAAAAGGAAAACTTTTACACACAAACATACACCCACAAAAAAACCATCAATAGTATGATTAATTTAAGTCAAAATTTTAGGTAAGTTTTCTATGAACATTTATATTTGAAATATTTGCATTTTGGAGGAAATGTGAAAAACTGAGGAGAGCAGCCCGTACAATCTGGTAACGTGCGTGCCAACCGAGGAATCGTGTCCTTGGGGCTTACGCACACAGTCACGCCTCCACAGTGGGGGTGACGGTAGACAGTGTCGCCAGCGTCCGTAGTTTCCAGCCAGCTCCTCCCCAGTTTAATTACAAGCACTGAGCTACACTGTTTCTTAGCTGCTTATACAGGTGTTTCGACAGAGAGAAGGCACGGACCATGGGAGGTGACTGTTCTGTTCTCCTTCATGGGTACAGTGTAGAATGTTCACAGATAAATTGGCATCTGGTTTCTAATTTAAGAACATCTTCCATTCTTAACATTCTGCTTTATGGTCATGGTTCCTTCCTTTTAAATAACATGTCATTGATAAAATAATACAACATCTAAAAGCCTGTCACCTTTTCCATTTAAGAAATGAGAGCTGGGTAAAGCTCATAGAATTAAATACCATTTATTTCAGTACTCCAGTACTAGCACACTAAACAGACCAAATACAATATCTTTGTTGACTGCAATAAAAGATATTTAATACAAAGAAGGTTCCAGGCAATGCTCGCGTTGAGAGGGAAAATGGCACTAAGTCTGTGCTACTCTTCCACACAAAACCTGCCCACAGTGGGTCTATACTCCCCCTGAGGCTCTGGGGGAGGGAGGGACAGAAAGTGGAAGGTAAACAGGAAGGTAAACAGCTCCAATGAGGTGCTGCTCTGCTGAAGCTGGAGAGTAGGAGGAAATCAAGAGTGTTTCCTACTTCAACTACTGGTGATACAGGAATCCTTTACTCTAAGGAATCCCAAAAAAGTATAATCAGAAAGTACTCATTCCTACTTAGTTAACATAATATTACTACTACTACTGATAGTAATCATGGGAACACTGAGTTATCATCATGAGCCGGGCACTGTTCTCTGCCCTTCACACACCCAATTTTTGCAATAACTCTATGTGGAAAGGATTATTATTCCCTTTTCACAGGTGAAGAAACTGAGACAAAGAACAACTGAGACAGTCACTATTTCCTTTGTGACAATGAGAGAAGAGAGCAGTGGAGGAGAGAAACAAAATAAAGTCACCAAGTAGCCAAGTTTTGTCTTAGCTGTGAAACCATCCCTGAGTACTTCAAAATCACAATACAGAAACCATTTCTCTGTTTCCCATAACACATTGATCAATTTACATGTTACTGGCATAATGGCAACCATGACACAATCTGGAAACCTTGTACCTTAGTTACTATATTTACCGTGCCTGACTTAGCATCCCACAGGAGATCCCTGAAGGCCAGCTGTGAAGGAGTAAGCTCCGGCTGTAAGAAGGTACTTGCTCGAAATTGAGCCCCTGCAAAAATAATTATTTATTTTCTTACAAAGAAAGAAATTAAATTCAAAACCAAAAATACATGATTTTTACGCTACAAACTTAGGAAAAAGACATCCAATAGGTCCAGCTGCTTCCTGGGAACCGGTTTCCTAAGACAGAGGCACCAACAGGGATTTATAGACAAAAATAGCAGAGGAAATACGAAGATGGAAACACAAGAGCTGATCGCCAAGCAGCTTAAAGAAGGACCTGAAAGACTCTTAGGCCAATAACATGGCCCATGATGAAGATGATCCATTCAAACATTTTTGTAAGATTTGGGAAAGCTGTAAATATTTTTTGGAAATTTAGAAAAACATATAAACATTAATTTCACTTCTTAAGACAAAACCACTTTTATACTGTTCTTCCAAACTTTAATCATGAAGACTACTTATTGAAATATCATATATTCATTTGAGGAATCATCTTTGAGCTCCTACCCTGTGCCAGGTACTATGCTAGGACCTGGAAATCCAAATGAGAAGAGTGAAATATAGCCCTGCCCTCATTCATTTACAGTTGAGTGGGGTAACCATTTAAAAAATAAGTAGATAAGAGAATAAATAAGATAATATAATCTGACCCAGACCCATAACAGCTGCTCAGGTGGATGGGAGTAGAGGGAACCTACATGACTCAAGGAAGCCTTCTGTGGGAAAGTGGAATTTACTGAGACCCAAGGAAGAGAAGGAGCAGGGAGGGGCATTCACGGGGCTCAGAGGGGCCTTCCCAGCAGGGGAGCTTCAAAGCAGCCCTTCCACAGGTAACTCCACAGCTTGGGCATCAGGCAGCCCCCCCCCACCATCGTTCCTCTTTAAAATGCACTTACGGACAAATGTCAGGTACAGGGAACTCGGAGAACAGTCAAGAAAACAGAAAAGGTGAAGGGAGGTAGCTGGAAAAGTCTTGCTGTGAAGAAAAGCAGAGAAAGGGACAGGGCTGGAGAGGCTGGCTCAGGGGGGGAGGTACTAGGCTGCCAGTACCACTGATGAGGGAAGGGCGGGGGACAGCGAAGATATAGGAAAGGCTGACAATTAAGAGTCATGTTTCTGGAATAAAGGAAAGAGGCTGGAGCCCAGAGCACAGGGAGACAGGCTGGCCTGTGATCAGATCAGGGTCCTTCCTCCACTGTCATGGAGATGAGGAAAAGATGAGCACCAATGAGATGTGAGGTTCACCACCTTTTTAAGCAACTTGTTTTTGGCTAACACAAGGAAATTAGACTCAAACCTTAACTAAAGGTCTGTGGTGGCTGGGAGACACCTGTTACCTTCCTCCAGAAGCTGGAAGAGTGTGGAAGGCCTGAATCCGGCAGGAATAGCTCCCATCGTGGTCAACACATCAACAGTGTTTTTCTGCTGAAGATGCTAAAAACAAATTGATTCGCTGTTTTCATTCGTGTTTCCCTCACCTCTACAATACTCTCATTATCATTATAGCAGCTGCAACCCAGAAAAGGAAAAAACAATGTGCAGATGTTACTAAACAAACACAGTAAGTTAACCTCAAGTTCCTGAGAGGAGGCCACCACTGAATCCTGGTGTCTCCCAAGACCCTAAGCCCTGCACCATGCCCAGTGGGCAGAGCCCTGTGCTCCTGCACATCCCTCGTCAAAGTGTCCTCCCTCCTGTCCCATCCCACAATGTACTGCCAAGCAACAAACCAGTTAATATCATAAAGTGATATACATTGACAATTCGATGGCTTTTTTGTGTGTGTATGTATATATATATGTGTACACGACACCCACACCCACACAAGCATGTCCATGTAAGTAAGACCCAGGGTAAAAAGTCAAAAAGGATAGTCACTAAACTGTTAATGGTGGTTACTTATGGGGGGAGTCAATTTTCATTTTGTTATGTAATTTTTAAAATGATATGATTATGGATAATTTACTTTTTTGAGCTTTCTGGAATTTTTCATATTAACTAAAATTTAACAGCAGTCTTTACCCAAATGATAGAAAATTCAGCCAGAATCAGTGAGAGATATTACTAAGCCCTCAAATCTACTCTCCTTACAGAAAAGACATAATGAGAAAAGCTACCTAGACCACAGGCTCACTAAACCAGAAGCGTATGTTTCGTGCTCTGTACAGTCCATGCCCTGCACCCTCTTTCAGATCCAACGCTATCTTCAAAAGTCCCATCCTGTTCTGAATCTGAACTCTAGCAGAACTACTAGGTGAGACATCACTGACAAGACAGGAGATACCAACCTCTGAGAGAGCTTTCTGGACAGCACTCCAATGAGAATCGGTTCTGGGAGACAAAACGGCAAGGTGAGTGCACAGACATTCACTTGGTTAGGGAACTTCATTAACCAAAGAACAAAGCACATAACTGTCAGTAAGTAGTTTTTTTTCTTTTCCAAAATTTCGAGAGAGCAGGTGTGTTTTTAAAATATGTTTTTATTGATTTCAGAGAGAGGAAGGGAAAGGGAGAGAAAAAGAGAGAAACATCAATGGTGAGAGTGTAATTGATCAGCTGCCTCCTGCATGCCCCCTACTCGGAATCAAGCCCACAACCCTAGCATGTGCCCCAACCAGGAATCTCAAACTCTTGGCTCATAGGTCGATGCTCAACCTCTGAGCCATGCTGGCCGGGTGGTGGGGGTTTTTTAAGAAAGGGGAGGGGAGGGGAAGAGGGGGGGACATCAGTTTGTTGTTCCACTTATTTATGCATTCACTCTTGTATGTGCCCTGACCAGGGATTAAACCCACACCCTTGGCATATCTGGATGATGCTCTAACCAACTGAGCTACCAGGCCAGGGCTGTCATGAGTTCAGAAAAACCTACAGTATCCAGATGAAACCAAGAAAGAATAATCATGAAACTCAAGTAGAAACGACCTTTAAGCAAATAGGAACATGAAAAGCACTGTTCGCAAACTGCAAGCTGTCTTCCTTGCAAAAAAATTCTCGAATTATTTAGGATAGTAAAAATAAAGTTTCCTAAACCTTTGAAGATTTTACTTTGCTATCCCATCATGCCTCCGTACCTTTGTTCACCTGGCGCGCCCTCTGCTGCCTCACCCCCGACCTCCACATCGCCTTCGCTGCCTTCTTCACTTGACTCTTGGCCTTCCTTAGGACAGGGCTGAAAAATGAGTGAGATACAAGGTGCTTTTTACCTAATGCAAAAATCAACCAATAAAAGACTTTCGGAGAGAATCGAGTGTAGTTGGGAATTGACATGATGGGCGTATAAAAAACAGTGGGGAAGATTTCAACATGTGGTTGGTCATTTCACTGTTTGAAAATTATAAGCATAGAGGTAGAGAGCAAGTTTAATCAAAATAAATTCCAGGTGGAATTTACTCAAATGGAAAAAAGGAAGTAAAGGTAGAAAGAAAAGAACTCTACGAATAGCACTAGAAGAAAATAATCCTGAGATGGGAAGCCCTTTCCAATTATGATGCCCAAACCAGAAGCCATACATGAAAACAGTGACAGACTTAGCTAATAAAAAATAAACATGGCTGAAAGTCAACAAAAAGAACATCTGTCACAAATTTCCAAGAGTTAATATCTTTATTATTAAAATATTACAAAAACTCTAATAAATCACTAAGAGTTTTTAAAATCCCTTAGAAAAATGGTCAAAAGAACTGAAAAGGCAATTTACAGAGAAGAAACAGAAATGGTCATAAAGCATATGTACAGATGCCCAACCCTGTCTGCAGGACAATGAATGCAAATAAAAACAATCAGAGACTTTTCTGCCTATCACACTGGCAGAAAGACTGGCCACAGCCGTGACTGAAAAATGTGTGGGTAACTGCATTCTCTCCATACTGCGGTTGGGGTACAAATAGGCCTAACTTTTCTGAAAGGCAAAATGGCAAGTTCAATAAAAATATAAAGGTGTAAGCCCTCTGAACCAGCACTGAGCACCGGGGACAACCCATGGGGAACAATGAGGGAGGTCTACAGAGATGCCTGGACGGACTGAGCCTTACAGAGGGTGCGGGATGCCTACCACTGAATCCCCACCGCTCCTTTTCTAACAGAACCCCTCATTTGAGCAGGGAGCAGGCAAAGAGACTACAGTTTCCAAGCCCTTCTTGCCGCTAGATGTTGGAAAGAACTAAATTCTGATCAGAAAGATATAACTGAAGTTTTTTGTGTAACGTCCAGGGCAGCTCAGGCCTTTTGACTTCTTGGTCCCCTTTCCTTCTCTTTTGTTGCTTGGAATTGTTAAAAGATCTAGCGGTCAACTTTAACTACAGAGATACCCCGGGAGAGCGGCCCCACCTAACCAGAGTGAAACATCAGATGGGCCCCCAGCACCCTTTGACTGCTACCTTCACACCTCTGCCATGCGCTAGAGAAATGTGCTTCAACCTAATTTAAGCCACGATCTGGGGATCTCCTGTAACTCATAGTGGAAGCTAACCATAGCTTCTTTGCCACAAAATTGATAGCTATGATAGGTTGGCAACAACCTAAATGTCCATCTGTGAAACTGGAATACTGTGCTATCACTGAAAAAGGTGAGCTAGGCCTGGACTGTGTTTACGACAGCCACTCGCCACCTGTGGCTGCTGACACTTGAAATGTGACTCCTCCACATTGACATGTGATATTTCAGTTTAAAATACACCCAGGAATTTGAAGACAGCATTAAAAAAAAATTTTTTTTATTATTGATTATATGTTGAAATGGTAATATTTTTGATATGTTGAATAATATAAAATATATTATTAAATATCATGTCAACTATTTCTTTTTACTTTTTTTAAATGTGTGGTATAATGAAAAACATATACTTGGTCTTTAGTTGCAGTTCTTGGCCAGAGTTCCTAAAACTCCTGGAATTTCCTAAGTGACAGGAGTATCTTTTGCTCTTAATAACAAGCCCCTTTCAACCACACTTGAGTTTATGCTAATGAGGGAGTAGGAGGGGGTATACTGTTTGCCAGAGAAACCAACCCTGTGATTAGGGGATTGGAACTTTCATCGCACCTCCTCCCACCTTCAGGGAGCAGAAAGGAGCTGGAGATTGAATTCAATCACCAATGGCCAAGGATTTAATCTCATGCCTATATAATGAAACCTCTATAAAACCCCCTGAAGGACAGCATTTAGGGAGCTTCCAGGCTGGTGACCACTTCAAAGTGCCTGGGGAGGGGGGCACTCCCTCCACCTCCCAATACCTTGCCTTGTGCACCTCTTCCATGTGGCTCTTCCTGAGCTGGGTCCTTCATAATAACGTGATAAACACAAGTACGGTGTTTTCCTGAGTTCAGTAAGTCCCTCTAGCAAATTCTCAAACCTGAGGAGGGCTGTGGGGACTCCTGAATTTATAGCTGGTCACTCACAAGTACCGGTGGCCCCCAAGACTTGTGACTGGCACCTGAAATAGGGCAGTTTGTGGGACTGAGCCCTTAACTTGTGGGGTCTGCTAACTCCAGGAGTTAGTGTCAGAACTGAACTGTTGGACACCTGGTTGGTTTCAGACAACTAGTGTGAAAAACAACACATATTTAGTGTCAGAGAAAAATTAAAGAGTTGGTGTTAGAAGTGGTGTCAGGGGGAAAAAGACATCTCAATGTGGTTACTAGAAAATTTTAAATTAATTTGTAGTTTGTGTAGTCTCTATTAAACAGCACTGATCCAGACAGATTATCTATGTATATTGGCATAGAAAATAGCCATGCTATTGCATGAAATATGAAAAACAATAGGTCACAAACATGAATGTACAGGATGTTCATATCCTAGTACAGATCATCTATGTGTGGGAGTGAACACAAAGTTCACGGTGGTTTTGTTTTACCACAAACAATAAACACCTACTAATTTTTCTGATCAGCACTAATCCACAAAGCATCTTCACTGTGAGATAACATTCCAGGACTCGCCTGCATGAGAGCAATCACAGGTCACAGGGCTGTTAACACGGTATTTTCCCTATGTCCCGTCCCTCGACCATGAAAGCAAATTCTACCCAAGTCACTCACAGTTGATCCAAGAATACAGCTTGACTTCTATGAAAAGTGAAATGGTGCTGAAGGAGGAAAAGGAAATCATAAACAAGCACTAACCTCCAGGTAGGTTCTGGGAACGAGACCTTTGTTTCCTTCGGCATTCTTAGCCATCCACCAACCATCCGGGTTTTTTTCAATTATAAGGAGAATTTCCCCTTTCTTAAAGAAAAACAAAGCAGTCAATTAAATTTTACCCCTCAAATAGGAATTATCAACATTAAAACTATTTTTTAAAATATAATGAAGGAAAAAGCCATATGATCATATCAATAGATGCAGAAAAAGCATTTAACAAAATCCAGCACCCATTTAGGATAAAAACTCTGTCAGCAAAGTGGGACTACAGGGAACATACCTCAATATCATAAAGATCATATATGACAAACCCATAGCCAACATCACTCAATGGGAAAAACTAAAAGTGTTTCCCTTAAGATCAGGAACAAGACAGGGATGTCTACTTTCAGAAGAGAAGAGTAGAGATGAGATAAGATCAGACAAAACAAGACATAAAAAAAGAAAATATCCTACAAGGCTATATTAATCAAAACAGCATGGTTTTGGCATAAAAACAGACACACAGATCAATGGAAGAAAGCAGAGAGGCCAGAAATAAACCTATGACAACATGGTCAATTAATATATGACAAAGGAGGTGAGAACATACGATAAGGTAAAGATAGTCTATTCAATAAATGGTGTTGAGAATACTGGACAGATATATGCAAAAAAATGAAACTACACACCTTCTTACACAATACACAAGAATAAACTCAAAATAGATTAAAGACTTATATGTTAGAGCTGAAACCATAAAAATCCTAGAAGAAAACATAGGTAGTAAAATCTCAGACATTTCTCATAGCGATATTTTTTCTGATATATCTCTGCAGGCAAGGGAAACAAAAAAATAAAATAAATAAATGGGACTACATCAAACTAAAGTTTTTGCATAGAAAAGGAAACCATTAACAAAATGAAAAGACAACCCACTAATGGAAGAATATATTCACTCATACATCTGAATGGTTAATATCCAAAATTTATAAAGAACTTATGAAACACCACCAAAAAACAATCCAATTAAGAAATGAGCAAAGGACCTGCATAGACGCTTCTTCTAAAAGGACATACAGATGGCCAATGGACATGTGAAAAGATGCTCAAAGTCACTAATCATCAGAGACATGCAAATTAAAATCACAATGAAATATCAGCTCATACCTGTCAGAATGGCTACCATCAATAAATCAACAAACAACAAGTGCTGGCGAGGGTGTGGAGAAAAGGGAACCCTCGGGCACTATTGGTGGGAATACAGATTGGTGCAGCCACTGTAGAAAACAGTATGGAGGGTCCTCAAAAAATTAAAAATAGAACTGCCTTATAGCCCAGCAACTCCACTTCTGGGTATATATCCGAAGAAACCCAAAACACTAATTTAAAAGAATATATGCACCTTATGTTTATTGCAGCATTATTTACAATACCTAAGATATGGAAGAAACCCAAGTGCCCATCAATAGATGAGTGGATAAAAAAGCTGCAGTACATATATATACAATGGAATATCATTTGGCCATGAAAAAGAAAATCTTACCATTGGTGACAGCATGGATGGACCAGAAAGTATTGTGCTAATTAAAATAAGTCAGTCAGAGAAAGACAAGTACCATATGATTTCACTTACATGTGGAATCTAAAGAATAAAATAAATAAAATTGAAACAGACTCTTAGACACAGAGAACAGACTGATGGTTGCCAGAGGGAGGGGTTTTGGGGGATGGGTGAATAGGTGAAATAGGATTAAGTAGTACAAAGTGATGGTTACAGAACAGTTACAGGGATGTAAAGTACAGCATAGGGAATACAGTCAATAATATTGTAATAACTATGCACAGTGCCAGATGGGTGCCTGAAATATCAGGGTGGCTACTTGTAAAGTACATGACTGTCTAACCACTATGCTGTACATCTGAAACTAATACCAAGTAATATTGAATGTAAACTGTAACTGAAAAATACAATTCAAAAAAATAAAGTCATAAAAGGATAATGAGTAAATAAATAAAAAGTAGAAGAGCATTACTCTTTTACCATTTTACTACCATGTAACCTTGATAACAATTTCACAAGACTACTGCCTATTAATCATTATTATGACTTAGTTTATTTAAACAGGTTGGCATCAGGAACATGTAACACAGGTATACGGGCAGTCTCCTCATTCTGTTAGGTGTGCAAGTTGATCTCGAGGTTGGTAAGGCTCCAGCCTTGTGTCTACCTGCCTTAAATGTAAGGTCCCCGGCTTGCTGCGCAGTGAAGTCTCCAACAGCAGTGTAAGCTTTACTTGCTGCCTCTGGCTGAGAGTCGTGTTCCTCTTTCCCTTCCTCTTCCTCTTCCGTTTCCTCTTCCTCCCCCTCACTTTCCTCACTTTCTTCTTCGTCATCATCGTCTTCATCTTCTTCAGAAAAATCACCTTCCTCTCTTTCAGTAACTGCCTCAATTCTGCAAAAACACAACTACAATGAGGATCACATGCAATAGTATTTAAGAGCAGATCAAGCCCAGCCAGGTGTGGCTCAGTGGCTGAGTGTCGACCTAGGATCCAGGTGACTGGGGTTCAATTCCTGGTCAGGGCACATGCCCGGGTTGCGGGCCCAATCCCCAGTCAGGGGCGTGCAAGAGGCAGCCGATCAATGACTCTCTCATCATTGATGTTTCTATCTCTCTCTCTCTCCTTCTCCTTTCCTCTCTCTGAAATCAATAAAGATATATATTTTTTTAAACCCACAAAACTTTAAAAAAAAAAAAAAGAGCAGATCAAGCATCTTCTATACATAGGAGGACCGGACCCTATTTCGTGCTGAAAGTAAAGGAAATAAGGGGAAAGCCCAGCTAATAGTTTCTGCCATCTAGCTAAGAATGGGGACTTGCGGGACTGAGTGGTGGAGTCCTATAGGAGGAAAAGGCAAGTGACAGGGCAGAACATGCACCAGACGAGAGGAGACGTGTGCGCTAGTCTTGGATTCATCCACTCAGCAGACACTGCTTGAGCTTTAGCACACAGCGCTTAGCACGGGCTCCAAGTTTACATTCTGGCTGTACCCCTCCTCACAGAGTAACAACTATGACTTTCAGGCAGTAAATCATAATAAGCTCTTCATTTCTCATTGATAAAGTGGAGATAATAATAGCATCTGCTTCATGAGGATGAGATGAACTACTGATTCCCAATGTTTGGAACAGTGTCTGCCCCACAACACGCTTTTAATAACAGTCAGCTCTGATGATGCTGGTCCATGTCAGACACAGAGGCTACAAAGGTAAACTAGACACAATTCCCTGTCCTCAAGGAGCTTACAACGAGAATCTAGAAAATGGATAATCACTCCAGAGTTCATTACGTACTACAGCGGAGGTATACACAGGATGCTAAGGAAACACGAGATGGGTACCTAACCTCGACTGCATGGATGGGAATCAGGAAAGACTCAGAATTAGGTATTGAGAGATGAGTTGGTGTTAATCAGGTAAAAGGAAGTAGCAAGGAGAGGGAGGGAGCGGAGAAAGGAGGCTCAAGATCAGGGAACTCAAGGAGGTCATGAACGGCAGGACAAGGCTTGGAGAAATGAGAGGTGAGGCTGCCAAGAGGTGAGCAGCATGCAGCCCACATGGGCGTCATCTCTATGGCAGTCCCTAAGAACAAAGTAAGGGAGGGCAGGATCCACTCTGCACTTTAGAAAGACGGCTACAATGCAGGAACAAACTGCAGGAAGGGTGGAAGGAAAGATGGCTGTTAGAGTGACACATGACAACAGTATGGACTAAGGAAACGGCATGGGGGGGAAGAGAAAGACATTTTGGAAAGATATGAAGAAGGTAAAATGGAAGGTGAGGGAAGGGAGAGGAGTTCATGTAACACTGGGGGGTAAGTCACTAACTCTCTCTGAGCTTTATTCATTCATTCAACAATCTCGAAGTCACCATGTTTTCAGGGCACCTACTGTGTGACACACACTATGAGCTTGGGATATAATAAAACAGGTCCTTGCTCTCCTACAGCTTATATCAGAGAAACTTACCTTTAAAATAATCACTTTTAGGATTTCATTTTATAGTTTGTTTTTTTAGCTCCTTCTTTATCTTATTTGGTAGTGGTTGTTCTGGGTATTACAATATGCATCCCTAACTCATCATGGTCTAGCCTGGATTAATATTACATTTCACCCAAAATGAAAGAACTTTAAGATGAAATCATCCCATTGACCATGCCAGCCCTTTTAGCTACTCCTGTGCCTCTGTTGTCACATATCTGCTTCTGCATAGAATCAATTCTCATTACTTGCAGATTCTGTATTTGTAAATTCATCAACTTGCTAAAACTTGTCTGGTACCCCCAAATTAACACTTTCAGTGCTTTTGTGGTCATTCACAGATGTGTGCAAAGCAGCAAAAAATCTGAGTTGCCCAATGCACATGCTCACAACTGAGGTGGAACAGGTGACATTCTGCCTTCTTGTTTCAGCTCTCATACTGAAACCAAGTGTCCTTCTCCAGTCTATTTAGTGCCAGGGAGTTTGCATTTTTGTGCTTTTTGTTGACAATTCTGCCATTTAAAGTGGCCCCAAATATACTGCTGAAGTGTTCCTCAAAAACAAAAAGCAGGAAGTGTGAGATCCCATGAGAGATGGAAAGAAGGGAAGTCATAACTGTCATAATTTTGCTCTCAGGTAATTTATCATCTAGTTGGGGAAACAAAGCAGAGATCTGAAAAACTAAAGAAACAAATGTGTGAAAATGTATGAAAATAAAGATCCTGCCTTTAATGTCAATGTTCATATGCAAAAAAAAAATTATTTGGATCATCTACTTGCATATTTCTTCCATTCATAAATAATCTTTAAAAACTGGAGGCAGAAACATGCACCGTTTTTCTACTGGAGTGGATGTGAATAGCCTTTGCCAAGTAGAAAGAAATCTTAATGGTCTAAACAAACCCAATTCATGGGAAGCAGAAAATAAAATAAAAACTACTCAGACTCTTCAAATGCTGTTCCCTTGTATTTATACCAGATCCTGAGGAAATGCTAAGGATATAGGTGCGAGGGCTCTAAAATGTCCAGGGATTTCCTGTGCTGAGAATGACAAAGTAGCTGGTATTGGACTTAACCTTCTAACCAGAAACAGCTCTAAAATCTGAACAAACATACAAAACAGCTGTTTAACGTCACTGAACATCAACCAAGCAGGACTGAGGTCTTACATCTCTCCTGGGCTCTTGCACTTTCTGCTATACTCAGTGAACCATGTCGACAGATCCTCCTGTCATGGCCACTTGTTTATATCTATATGTTGTGTCTGTGTCCTGAGTGAATCATTAAAACTATGGCCACGTAACATCTGAAGGAAGGAAGGGGAGACACATACTCAGTTCTACTTTCTCTACTTATGGACCCGGCAAGTTCCTGCAGCTGGTGGGTCAGCTTGTCCAGGAGACCAAGCACCTCCGCCTTTTCCTGATGACGGTTCCCGACAGGTGCAGGTTCATCGGCCTAGGAGAGAACGAGTACCTTTCATTAAAACTTTGTCTCCTGTTATATTTACTTTAAAAGAAAACTGACTCAATATGTGCCAGCAGACAAAGTAAATACCAGTCCAGACCAGCCCCTCCTCAGAGGAACAAGATGAAGAGAAATGTAGGTGATGGGACTGGAAAGCCAACCAAACGAGAAGTGAGATGAGAATATGCTTTCTGTCTAGTTCCCGTCTCGGTCCTGAAGGCCCTCGGTGGTTGGTAAGGGCTACATTCCAGGCAGAGTGGCTTTGGTCATAAGCACAGGCCCCAATCCCAAGGCCGCCAATCTGGCAGTGAGACCTTGGGAAAGCTGCTCTACCTATGAGCACCTGTTTTCTCATCTGGGAATGGGGGTCACTAGGTTTTCAAGTGGAGGGTCAGTCTGCATGGAAACATCCGTGCAAACAGATGTTCTGGAATATGAGTGACTCTAATACTTACTTTGTCCAATTTTTGAAGAGCATTTTTATTGTCATCGATTGCCTGTTTTAATTGGACACATCTAAATTTTTAAAAAGAGAGAAAAAAAGTATTGATTTTCTATTATCAGAACCAGAAAGTTATTTTGTAAAATCATACAGAAGTCTTTAAACAAGCAAGGCTGTTAGCAATCGTATGGCTTATGTGTAAAAATGCTCATGTAAATGCTTTTCCACCCATTCATTATCTCGGGATCCTCACTGGGGCTCTGTAGCCTGGCCCTGAGGTACACAGGCGTATGACAACCAAAGCTCAGAGAGCTTATGTGACTACGGGCTTCAGCGTCCGGCCTCTAAAAAATAAGGACAGCACCGGGCTTGAAAATGCCTCTCCCACCCGCTCTAAAATCCACAAGCCTAGGACCCAGCGAGGAGGACACTAAGAATGAGGGTAACAGCTAACAGGGAGTGTGCACCAAGCGGGATGCTAAGTGTTCACAGGCATTGCCTCATTCGACCCCCAGAACCCCCCTCCCTCCAGATGGAGAAAGTGGGGTTCGGAAAGGTGAGCACAGCCGGTCCATGGTCGAGTAACCAAGCAGAGGCAGAGCAAGGATTCTGCAGCTGCCTCATCACATCCCAGTGCATGGCCCCTGTGAATGCAGTCTACCCAGCCACCTAGTGTGTTATTTCACAGACACTCATATCATTTAGCTTAAGTCCTAGACATCCAACTGAGAGGTATGAAAACCACCAAAAATTGGCTACAGCTAGGCTTGCTTAATATATTATTATGTCATCTTATTTATATTCTATTGCATTATATGAATTAAATCACGTCTGTAACATATAAGCTATAAAGAGGAAAGTCAGTCTGAAGGCACTCTAAGGCCTATTATTCAGAGAGAGAGTGAAGATGTTGATTAAGCTTAGATTTAGTTAAGGTCCTCTTATAATCTACTATTAAATAAGTCTGTTTACAGAGAGTCTGACAGTTAGCTCCCCTATCCTGTACCTCCCCCCTCTCTGCTCTCCCTCGTCACCAGAGGACTCTGCTCTAAAAAAGTTCATGACTTGGGGAGAATTCTAGGTGCTAAAGAACCTTCCTGCACCCCAGATTACAGCCCACCCTACTCTGGCACTGGGGCTCCACAGGCCAAAGGCCCATTCCCAGCCCCTGGAAATCCCTGTATACCAACAGAGAACTTCATTCTCATACAGGGGTAGCACTAGGAGAAAAGAGACCTAGATGTACAACAGTAGAAAAACCCACAATGGCACTCTAGAACAATCAACCTAGTCTCTCATTCTTAAATAAAATGGATAACCCAAGGGCCACCGGGCGTAAGAAAACCAGCAACATGGAAGATAATACTTAACACTAACCAACATTAAATAAAGGCAACTCAGAGAACAGAAAACTTTGAAAAAAAATCTCCCCCTGGCCGGCATTCTCAGTGGTTGAGTATCGACCCATGAACCAGGAGGTCACGGTTCAATTCCCGGTGGTCAGGGCACATGCCCGGGTTTCAAGCTTGATCCCCAGTAGGGAGCATGAAGGAGGTAGCCAATCAATGGCTCTCTCTCCCTCCCCCTTCCTTTCTCTAAAATCAATAAAAACATATATTTTTTAGATCTCCTAATCATGAAAGTAGTAAGGAGATAATCTGAAAACAGGAACATGATGCTATGGAAAAACAACAAGGAAAAACACTGGCAAGTTGCCAATCCGTCTAATGAAATCAAACATTCCACAGGAAGTTAAAAGAAAAAGTCAAGAGCATCTCCCAGGAGAAAACAAAACGACACAGAAACAAAACTATTAATGGGGTGATAAGAGACCAAGAAAATAGTCCAGGAGGCTCCCTGACGCAAAGGTGTTTCAGGAAGAAAAAGACACACTAAAGTAAAAAACTTACCTTTTAATGAAAGAAAATCTCCCAGAGCTCATGAGAGACACGAGTTTTCAAACTGAAAAGATGCCCTGGGCCCTGCCCGGTGTCTTAGTTGGTGGGAGTGTCGTCCCATGCACTGAAAGGCTGCGGGTCCAATTCCCAGGCAGGGGACATACCTAGGTTGGGGGTTCAATCCCAAGTTGGGGTGTGTACGGGAAGCAGTGTTTCTTTCAATCTACGTTGCTCTCCCTCTCTCTTTTTTTCTCTCTCCCCCTCTCAAATCAATTTTAAAAACATGTATCCTTGGGTGAGGATTAAAAAAAGAAAAAAGATGCACTAAGGGCGAGCAAGATAAAAACAACAAAGACACCCTGATAAAATTTTAAAACACCCAGGCTGAAGAGAAAAGCCCCAACACGTCAGTTAGAGAGGAATGGTCTTCAAACTTAGCATCACTGGTGCAAACAAACCTGACAATGTCTTCAAAGGTTTAAGTAGAAATTATTTTTACTCTATCTCCTGCCAGCCAATTATTAATCAAACATAAGGGCTAAAATATGTTTTCAGACATACAAACCTCAACGTGAATTTGTTAAATGGCTGTGAGGAGGTTTTTTTATACACTGAGAAGACTATTTTATGGTTACTTGGGTTTAAAAAGAATTAGTTTATTAAAATAAAAGTTAAAAACCTAGTTTTCCCTGGGGCTTCAAATTCAGCCTATAGATCTTACCTATTTTTAAATCTAGTAAAGCAAGTACAATCACCTCCACTTTCTCTTTCATTATTGTTTAATTCAACTTGACCTAAATTCCTTAATCAATCTGACTAATAAATGTAGTTAATTAAATTCCCTTGGACATTTTAAAATTCATATAAACTTAATTTTGCTATTAAGTGCTTTGAATACCTGACCTAAGTAAAAGTTGTTCAAATGATTCCAGTGAACCATTTAAACTAGTAGAATGAATTTCATGTTCTTTTGAATGTTATAAACTCTTTCAATACCCCAAACATACAGATTATCTCAATGATGTCCTAAACAAATACAAAAGTATTAATAATCTAATTCAATTTAGTTTATCATGACTATATAATTTTAAACTCTATTTAATTTTAAACTTTTCCAGAGATTACCAAAAAGAAAATAGTCAAAAGAAAACAAAAACACTTATCCACGAAGAGAAGAGTTTTCCACCTTAAGGGAGTTGGAATTGTTAATAGACAAGAAATTTCTGACCAGGTCACAGGATCTGGGGCTACACAGGCTGAGGACCTCCCAGAATCCTGCCTAAGCCACCGTGGTTCACTCTGAGCAGTTTTCACAGTTGCTGTCACAAAGGCAAGTCCACAGCCTTCAGGTTCAGGGTGGTTTCTCCAAGATCAAGTTAGGCCATGATGTAATTCTTCCACTGGATTCAAATGGACTGAAGCCTGCATCCTCACTGCAACTTCATAACGTTCCTTCTCCTGCTTGACTGAATCTTGCATGTCTTAGCAAACTGACATTTTTATTGCCTCTCCACTTCAATGTCTTAGAGCAAAGTAATGTTAGACAAATTAACTAACCACTGTGAATCTTAATTTTCTCATGGTATATTGTGAAAATTAATTAAGAAAAGTTTTTAGAGTGCGGATCACACTACTTGGTACATACAGAATACAAAATAAAGTTGCCTCTTTTTAACATTTGTAATCCTCAATTTAATCTTATCATTCCAAAATTTAGACCTGATATAGAAAACTGCAAGAAATCTTTTAAAATACATTTTGGAAATTTCACTGTTACTTCAATATTATTCTCATTGTTAGTGTTTTTAATTGTACTAATAAAAAAAAAAGGAAAGAAATAACGCCTCAAACAGTTTCAATGCTGTAAACACAGCTCATTGCAATGCAAGCACAGTTCTTGGAAAGCTTATAACATTTTGTATGCTTTACCTTTGGTAAATATCTCGCCTTTTACTGGCTTCTAGAGCTCCTTTCAATCGACTCTCAGAAAGCAAACTATCAACCTACAATAAATAGAGATTGTTTTAAATATCATACTCTTAAATACCATGTAACCTTAGGAAATAAAATTGTAATCTTTTCCTCAATATTTTAGGATGAACATATACAATAAAGTAAAAAATTTTACAGTGAACACCCATATACCCACCAGCTAGATTCTACATTAACATTTTACTATACTCATACTTATTTGATCCATGTGTTCATCAGTCTTATTTTGTTATGTATTTCAAAGTAAACTGCAATCATCAATGCATTTCCCCCTAAATAATGCCATGGTATCACTAACTAGAGTTCAAAATTTGGTGTAAAATTTACATACAATGAAAGGGACAAATCTTAAATATACATTTGTATACATCTGTGTAACCAAACCCCATCAACATATAGAAAAGTACCTTTACCCCAGAACACTCCCAGGAAGTATGGACTCTTTTGTATAATCCTTTCACAGCGTGTTTCTGAGATACTTCCATATCGTTTGTTGCGTGTATCATTAGTTTATTCCTCCTTGTTGCTGAGGAGTATGCACTGTATGAACTCACCACACCTTTGCTTACCCTCACTCACTCTTTTTAATCCCCACCAGAGGATATATTTTCCATTGCTTTGCAGAGAGAGTGGAAGGGAGAGAGAGAAGCATCGATGTGAGGGAGATACATCAATTGGTAGCTTCCTGTACCTGCCCCAACCAGGGCCCGGGATAGAGCCTACAACTGAGGTATGTGCCCTTGGCCAAAATCGAAACCAGGACCCTACAGTCCGCAGGCCAATGCCCTAACCACTGAGCCAAACCAGCCAGGGCCGTCCTCATTCTTACATCTTACACCTTGACTCAGTATTTTCCAAACACTACACAGAACTTTGCCAATGTCCTCACGAAGGAGCCACGTACCTCTGCTGGGTTCTTTTCTATAAATGATGTGAAGACAAAGTGTGTGACAAAGAGAGAAGCTCTCTAGCTTCTCTGCTCTTGCTATTCTGCATCTTGTCAAGGGCATGAATGAGCTGGGCTCCTGTCCCCTGGACACCAAGTTGGAAATCTGTTCCACGTTTTGCTTTAGGCGTCCTCTGTAGGGACAGGGAAGAATGAGCTCACACTATCCAAGGGCCCTTCTCAGACGCAGGGCATTAAAGGCTCCTGAGCCAATTCCTCTCCAGGCTGACAATCCTTGTTAGCAGCTTGTTTTCATAACAATTTCTGTTATTCTCCCAATATCACACTAAACTACAATCAAATACAGAACCATATTAAATATACAGCCAAAGCTCAGCGTAAGTCCGTGCCTCATCACATTTTATTTTTATTTCCACCAGAAGAGTATTTTGTTTTTGTTGCACCACTATAATTCCAATAAAGTCACATAAAAAATATTTATCCATCAAATCTTTGGTAGTTTTTAAATAAGAGTCCAAACTGGATAAAATATGAGCATTCAGTAAATCTCTTCCAGAGATAATAAAATTATTTTATTTAGTGGAAAGAACACTTGGCAATTTTTTAAATGTAAAATTAGCAAAGTTAAATAGGAATTTCAGAAAATAACCCACTCTTTTTTTAAGTAACATATATTTGGTATTCAAAATCATGAAAATATCAAAATGGAGAGAAATGTAATAATCATCAGCATCCTACCAGCTACCATCCTAGCGTGTTTCCTTCTTTTTTCTACATATATAGGGTGTTCCATAAAAAAGCTTACATACTTTTACAGCTAGTAGCTCAATTTTGAAAATGAAATGTATTTTCATAAACATGGACTTTGTAATTATTCAAAGTGTGTGTATACATTTTTGGGGACACCCAATATATAAAAAATTTATTGAAATACTGTATTAAAATTTATATTTCTCAATTCCTCTCTCTAAAACCACTAGAAACATTTAAAAAGTAAATAAAATTAAAATGTCCGAGATTTTTCCTTTGCAATGGCTTGGTTATCTTTGAAACTAACTTTCCTCACGCCCCGCAGGTACCCGTGCGCCTGCTGTGGTCCGAGTCCCTGCTCTCGCGTGTACACACGGGGACTGTCCCCTGACTGGCCCTTCAGCCCGAGGTCACGTGAACAGCAGAGGCAGCCCCGCGGGCGGGGCGGAGGGCGAGGGGCCGGGAGCGGAGCGGAGCGGTGCCGGCGCAGGTGAGATGGCCGCGGTTACCGTTAAAAGGCGGGACTGGGAGGTGCGGCGGATTGAGGGCGCTGAGGCCACCGTCATGTTTCCGGAGGCGGGGTCCCCGGGGTGTGGTGGGGGCACGAGGGGCAGCCCCGGGTGGCTGAGGGACGCTGGGATGGGGGCCGTACTGCGGGGAAGGTTGAGGGTCAGGGCTCCCAGGACTCGGACCCCCGGCTCTCGCCCCGCTGGAGCCCGGCCGCCCCGCCACCCGCCCGGAGGAACAGCCAGAGGTACCTGCTGCCTCAGCTCCCGACCCCTGCGCAGCAGGGACTGCAGGGGGTCGCGCGGCCGCCTCGCCAGCATCTTCTCGCCTCGGCGCCGGGCGCGCCGGTCACCAGGGAAACCGCCGGAGCGGCGCCGGCGGGTGACGTCACGCGGTGGCGCCATCAGCTTGCGCGGGACTCACAGCCAAGAGGGAGAGGTGGCGGCAGGGGGAGTGGGACCTGCAGCGCCTCACCCAGGAGGCAGGGAAGGCCCACCTTGAGCAGGGACAGAACCTGTGACTTGCAGGGATGTCACTGCTGTGATCAGTTTTACATAAAACTCCTTAACAGACTGCAGACTCTCCTGTGGGCTTGCTGAAGGAAGCATGCATGTTGGAGAAGCTCAACTAGCAGAGCCCTGATGTGGCCTCTAGAAACGCAGCCCAGATGGCGAACAGCTCCACTGGATTCCCCAGCATCCAGGACAGTGCCTTCTATTTGTTTGGTTTTTGAATATATTTATTACAGTAAGATATGCACAATGAAATTTACCATTTTAACTATTTTTTGATGCACAGCTTGGTGGTAAGTACATGCATGCTGTTAGGCTGCCTCACCATCATCTCCATCACTGTTCCCATCTTCAACTGAAACTGTCCCCACTAAACAACTTCCCCTCCCCTCCCCCACCCCTGGTGCCCTCCACCCTACCTTCCCTCTCTGACTTAAGTGGCCAAGGGATCACTTATGAGTGGAATCACACAGTATTTGTCTTTTTGTGACTGGTGAGCAGAATGTCTTCAGGGCCCATCCAGGTTATAGCATGTGTCACAAAGTCTATCCTTTTTTCTAAATTTAATGTATTAGGGTGATATTGTTTAATAAAATTATATAGCTTCCAGGTATACAATTCAATGACATGTCATCTGTATGTTGTGTAGTGTGTTCACTACCCCATGTCAAGTCTCCCTCCATCACCGTTTATCCTTTCTATGCCCTCTTCTGCACACCCCTCCCTCTTTCCCTGAGCTAATCGCCATACTGTTCTCTGTTTCTATGAGGGGTTTTTTCTTTGCTTAATCCTTTTACCTTTTTCACCTAGTCCCCCAACCCCAATACCCTCTGGCTGCTTGCTGTGAGTCTGTTCTCTGTATCTATGTGTTGGTTTCCATTTAGTTTGTTAGTTTATTTTGTTCATTAGATTCCACATATAAGTGAAATTCTCTGGTATTAGTGTTTCTTGGCCTGCCCTATTTCACTTCTCATAATACATCCCAGATCCCTCCATTCTTTCACAGATGGTGAGATTTCCTTCTTTTTTACAGCTGCGTTGTAGTCCACGGTGTAAATGCAGCACAGCTCTTTATCCACTAATTCACTGATGGGCACTTGAGCTGCTTCCAAATCTTGGCCATTGTAAATAACACAGCAGTGAACATATGGGAGCATATATTCTTTCAAATCAGTGTTTCTGGTTTCTTGAGATATATTCCCAGAACAGGAATTGCAATGTCATAAGGAAGTTCCATGTTTTAAAAATGTGTTTTTATTGATTTCACAGAGAGACAGGGAGAGGGAGAGAGAAACATCAGTGAAGAGAGAGAGTTGTGGATTGGCTGCCTCCTGCATGCCCCCTACTGGGGATTGAGCCTGCAATCTGGGCGCGTGCCCTCACCTGGAATCAGACCGATATCTCCTGGGCCCTCACCTGGAATCAGACTGAGATCTCCTGGATCCTAGGTCAATGCTCAACCACTGAGCCACACCGTCCAGGCAAAGAAATTCCATTTTAAGTTTTTTGAAGTAACTTCATACTGTTTTCCATAGTGGCTGCACCAAATGCATTCCCACCAGCAGTGCACAAGGGTTCCCCTTTCTCCACATCCTCGCAAACACTTTTCATTTGTGGATTTATTTATGGCAGCCATTCTGACAGGCGCGAGGTGATATCTCATTGTGGTTTTAGTTTACATCTCTCTGATGATTAGTGATGTTGAGCATCTTTTTATATGTCTATTGGCATCTATATGTCCTCTGTGGAGAAGTGTCTATTCAGGTCCTTTGCCCATTTTTTCATTGGATTGTTTGGTTTTTTGGTGTTGAGTTTTACAAGTTCTTCACAAATTTTGTATATTAAGCCCTTGTCACATGTATGTGGGCTGTCTTTTCATTTTGTTGATGGCTTCCTTTGCAGTGCAAACATTTCTTAGTTTGATATAATGCCATTTCTTTATTTTTCTTTTGTTTCCCTTGCCTGAGGAGATATATCAGAACAAATATTGCTAACAGAAATGGCCAAGATTTTACTGCCTCTGTTTTCTTCTGGATAATTTTTATGGTTTTGAGTCTAACGGTTTAAGTCTTTAATCCATTCTGAGTTTTATCTTGTGTATGGTGTAAGAAGGTGAGCTTGTTTCTTTTTTTCCATGTATCTGCCCAATTTTCCCAACACCATTTATTGAATAAATTATCTTTACCCCATTGTATGTTCTTGTGTCCTTTGTCAAATATTAATTGACCATAAATGTGTGGGTTTATTTCTGGGCTTTTTATTCAGCTCCATTGATATACATGTCTATCTTTATTGCCAGTACCATGCTGCTTTTATTACTATGTCCTTGTAGTGCAGTTTGATATCAGGTAGTGTGATTCCTCCGACTTTGTTCTGCTTTCTCAAGATTGCTGTGGCTATTTGCGTGTGGGGATGGATGGAGGGGCTGTTCGTTTTTTGTCTGTCTGTTTGTTTTTTGGTGGTACCATATAAACTTTTGGAATATTTGTTACAGTTCTGTGAGACTCCATTGGTATCTTGATAGAAATTGGTTGAATCTATAGATTGCTTTGGGTAGTAGGACATTTTAATGATTTTAATTCTTCCTCTCCATGAACATGGTATATGCTTTCACTTATTTGTATCTTCTTTCATTTCTTTTTTTTTTTTTCTTTTTGCTAATCCTCACCTGTGGATATTTTTTCCATTGCTTTTTTAGAGAAAGTGGGAGGGAAGGAGGGATAGCTGGAGAGAGGGAGAGACAAGAAGAGAGAAACATTGACATGAGAGACAGACATCAATCCATTGCATTCCACATACACCTTGACCAAGGCTGAGGATCGCAGCTGCCACCCAGGTATGTGCCCTTGACCACAGAATCAAACCTGTGACCCTTAGGTGCTCGAGCTTACACTCTAACTACTGAGCCCACTGGCCAGAGCTTCAATTTCTTTCTCCACTATCTCATAATACTTGGAATACAGGTCTTTTACATTCTTGGTTAAGTTTATTTTTAGGTATTTTTTTGATGCAATTGTAAATGAGATTGTTTTCTTAGTTTCCCTTTTGATAGTTCACTATTGGTGTACAAAAATACAACTGATTTCTGGATATTTATTTGTACCAGCTACTGTACTGAATTCATTAATCAGTTCTAGTAATTTTTTGGGTTCTCTATATACAGTATTATGTGATCTGCAAATAATGATAGTTTTACTTCTTCCTTTCTTATTTGAATGCTTTTTATTTCTTTTTTGTTGCTAAACTCTGTAGCTATGTCTTCCAGCAGTATGTTGAATAAGAATAGTGAAAATAGACATCTCTCTCTTGTTCCTGATCTTAAGGGAAACACTTTTAATTTTTGCCCATTGAGTATGATGTTGGCTGTGGGTTTGTCATATATGGCATTTATTATGTTGAGGTATGATCCCTCTATACCCACTTTGCTGGGAGATTTTATCATAAATGAGTGCTGGATTTTGTCTGTTATTTCTGCATCTATTGACATGATCCTGTGATTTTTATTCTCTATTTTGTTCATATGCTGTATCACACTTATAGATATGCGGATATTGCACCAACCTGGCATCCCTGGAATAAATCCCACTTCATCGTGATGTATGATCATTTCATTGTATTGGATCCAATTTGCTAATATTTTGTTGAGGATTTTAGCATCTATGTTCATCAGGGACATTGGCCTATAATTTTTTCACAGGATCTTTATCTGGTTTTGGAATTAGGATAATGTTGGCCTCATAAAATGAACTTGGGAGTCTTCCCTTGTCTTGAATGTTTTGGAATAGTTTGAAAAGAATAGGTATTAGTTCTATGAATGTTTGGTAAAATTCATCTATGAAGTCATCTGGTCCAGCAGTTTTGTTTTATGGAAGCTTTTTGTTGTTTGTTAATCCTCACCTGAGGATATTTATTCCACTGATATTTTTCCTTATTAGAGAGAGTGGAAGGGAGGAAGGGACGGGGCAAGAGAGAGAAAGAGAGAGAGAGAGAGACCAATCTGAGAGAGATACAATGATTGGTTGCCTCCTGTAGAGCCCCCAACCAGGGCTGGGGATTGAACCAGGTATGTTCCCTTTACCATCAATCAAACCCACGACCCTTCTGTGCGTAGGCCAATGCTCTAACCTCTGAACCACACTGGGCAGGGGTGTTGGGAGGCTTTTGATTACTGCTTCGTGTCATTAGTTGTAATTGGTTTATTCAGATTTTCTGCTTTTTCCTGAGTTCTGGAAGATTGTATATTTCTAGGAATTTATTCATTTTGTTCAGATAGTCCAATTTATTGGCATACAGTTGTTTGTAATATTTTGTTACAATCCTTTATATTTCTGTGGAGTCAGTTATTATTTCTTCTGTTTCTTTGGTGATTTTATTTATTCGGGTCTCTGTCTTTTTTTCTTGATGACTCTGATAAAGGTTTGTCAATCTTGTTATCTTTTCAGAGAGCCAGCTCTTGGTGTCTTTGATCTCTCTGTCTTGTTTTTATTTGCTTGTTTGTTTGTTTTGTTTTTGCTCCTTCTCACAGGTCTCTGAGAGTGTGGGCTCCGGTGTCCAGTGTTCATCTGTCCTGCCTCCAGGCCATGTTTCCACTGGAGGCACATGTTTCAGGTCTGTACCTAAAGCACATCTCACAGTCTTTCATCTTTGTAAATCCTACCCTCTCAGATATTATTTCAAATGCCAAATCACAGAGTGATCTTTAAAAAATATACATCAGATCATGTCATTTCCTGCCTCAAAGCCTTAATGGTTGGGATAAAATTTTCAACCCACCCAACTGCATCTGCAATCAGTTTACTTTGGGGATCATTCCCTTGGAAATGGGGTGGGTCTGTTACTGAGCTGAAACCCTTAGGAGTGAAAATTAAGATTCCTTGGCAAAGAGGGAATTCTGCCTCAGATCACAGTGTAAAATGTTGCTGTTTTTAGCCTGCTGGCTTGCCTTATGGACTTCAGACTTGTCAGCCCTCATCATGACAAGACCAGTGTCCAGCCCCTGTCTGGCTGGATGGCTTCGCTTTGATCGGCTTCCCTCTGGCTGCCCTGGTCGGCTCCGCTCTGCTCTGGGGAGATGGCATCAGGGTCTCAGCTCCAGTCCAGGACCCAGTCACCTTCAGGGGAAAGTGCGCCCTCCCGTCCAGAGGGGAGCTGACACATAGGGACAGAAATGCCTGCCCCGGGACTATAGAGGGGAGGACCCCAGAGCCTGCTGGCCACAGATAAGCATCACCCCTCCTGTGGACGAAGAGGCTTGGGGAGAACTGTGGGGAAGTCGGCGGTGCTGTCCTCCCTTCTGGCCTCCAGGGCGCACCAGTAAGACCCCCCCCCCCC